ACAGAAAGCTAAGTATGATTAGCAATCTGTAAATACCTCTAAGATAACTGTGACCCTGGGGCCCGGCTCTCTGGATGCATAAATGTCACAGCAAGGTCTGCAAATGCCTAATTGTTAAAAAAAACATGCTGTCATTAATTTGCTATGAAAACACAGAAAAAGATGTTTCAAGTTAGCATCCCTCAGATCTCCAAATGAATGTCTGTGAATGATTTTATCTGTCTAGGCCATCTGGTCTCTGCAGAGACTGGGCTTCTTTTCACATTTCTGGCTGTGGTTCTACATTAACAAACATGCAATGAACTAAAAATTCAAAAGTAGGTAATGTGAAAAGGATTGCTGGGGCGAGTCAGATAAAAGACCAGGCAAGTGATCTAAGGTCAAAAAATCTGGTGCGGATGACCAGATGAGTACAATGCTGTCTCTCAAAGAAGGGTGCATTACATTATCTTACAGGATGGCTCCTGGGGGCAGGATTGCTGTGAAGGAAGACTCTGGCCCACTCAGAACACGTCAAGAAGAGAGACTGGATTTCCACCTGACAGCAGCTTGTGAACACGGTGTCTGGTGAACTGAAAAGACGACGGTGCTTTTGTTGTCACTGTCAGATTAAGTGTTCACAGCAGGGAGGGAAAGTTCATGAGAAAACACTGAGAATTGCTTTATTCTAGGAAGTAGAACTTCTTATGGGATATTACGATGACAGCCAAATCATAACAGCTGAAATGGGTAGCCACATGAACAATGAAACAGCACAGAGACAATACGCTCCAGGTTTGCCGAAAATGATAAGAAATCATCACAGAAACGAACATTCAGTTTACCATTTTGCTTAGCTAGAGCTGAGTAGGGAAATGCTATGAAAAATGACAGATAAAATAAAGACCTGAGGAAAACCACAGCATATCACAGCATGCTTAGACGAATCATTTTGTTACAATACAGAGTGAATGAGGTGCAGTGAAAAGATGCCAGTGTCTTTCTAGACCTCCTGAAAATGCACCATGAAGAAGACAAGGAGAGTAACCACTGACCCACATGAAGATCAGAGACTATGCAAACTCTGGAATTAGATATTTTGTTCCCCAAATTTAGAAACACATTTCCTCCATCTATTACGCGTCAGGATTTTTTTTCTTTCAGGGTTGATTTACCCATCCAAACCTTCCATTATTTGCTTATTTTTCATGAAAAGGAGGACTAAAATATTCAATGAAACCTTAGTCATTCAAATTGGAGACAGAAACCTTGTTCACCCCAGTGAAAGAGTATCTTTGTATAACCTCTAATATTGGGCATCCTGGACCCCAGTGCTTCAACGCTGCAGAGAACTGAAGGTCAGTCTAAATTCTTTCAAAGGACTGCTAGCTGGGAGGAAAGGGAGAAGCTAATGTGGTGAGCTATTGAGAGCCATTTATTACTACGTAAGAACTCAGCATTATGGAGCTGTACTGAAGATTACACCTCCAACTTTGCCTGAGGTTGTGACAGAAACATTCAATATTCCCCACTATTCTGTCTCCCAGCATATTGAGCCAAATTGGAGAAGGATTCTTCAGTGACTCACCCTATTTCAGTGCCCAAAACACCTGACCAAGAGCTAAGACAAGAATATTATTTCTGGGCTAAACTGTCTTATTTTCACTGAAATACTGTGTAGCAGCTGCCACCACATTTTGCCCCCTTATTTGGAGAAGGGCAAACTACCTTAAGCAGGGGTGTAAACAGTATTTTAGAAGATGTTTTCAACTATCCAGGCAAAGAGCTAGACACATTACCTAGATCAGATAGAATGGCTCATTCCTGGCATGGATTAAAAGCAGCTCTTCTGGCTATGAGCTTCAGGTACATCCTGTAGCATGAAGATAAAAATGTGTATCATCAAACTTCTTGGGTCTGGAGAGATATAACTGTGTCCTTCCAGATACAGGGGGATTTAAAATATTTTTCTTAACTTTGAAAATGTGTGATATCTTATATTTTGTGCGTTCAGCATGCACATATGTTAACTGAAGGAAAAAGTCTTATTCAATGGAAGCTTGCAGGAAAGGTGTTAAATCTCAGTTTCACCATAAATGAGAAATATTTTCCAGTCATTATGTCTCTTTCTTAACTTGGCATACATACAACTACTCTGTGCTTTGATGTGCTCATTTTGGACTCAGAATGATGTTTGTACAAAGAGCAAGGCATGAAATAAGCCATTAACAGGGGCAGAACTGTAACTTTCAGGCCAGGGGAAAAAGAGCAGTGTATTTCTCAATTCTGCCAATATGAACACAACTTCACATCTTTGTCTTTTGTTGTATTTATTGCAAACTTGCCACTGTTCACCTAAGGAAGAGAAAACGTAAAATATCTTGGAGGGAATTTTTTTGCTAGCCCTGTCTGGATAGGTCTTGCAGAATTACTATAGGGAACAAACATGTCAAGGATAGATTCCACAAGCCCCACAGCACCAAAAGGCATACAGTTCAAGAAATCTGCAAATCTAAACCAATTGTAGTTGTGTGGTTTTCATGACTGACATCAAACTTCAGGCATTGAAAAGACTATGAATATTTATTATCTGGGACCCTGGGACCCTCAAAACTGATTCATCCATCTATATTAACTGATGTCTCATAACAGATTTGGAAACAGGAATATAATTTTTAATTCTTGCATGTTAGAGGGAGGAGGCTCTGTTGGAGTCATATCAACAAGTAAATCTGAGAAACAGAAGCTTTAGCACTGACTTTGATGAGAACAAAGTTGGAGAAAGACCGAGAACTTCAGAAAACCCCAACCCTCATGAATAAATAATGACAAGCAAGTTAGTACAGCACCCTTAGAGAAGTTAGCCTGTAAAGCCTTTATGGAAGAATCATACTCCTTGAATTTTAAAAAGCTTGGTCCACATCCTATCTTAGCTGGCTGCACAGACTTCTGAATGCAGTAGTCGATGGTTACAAATGAAGAGCTGAAATCAGTCAACATAGACAGCTTAAAAACATTCAGAATGCCTAGGTAGCTACAAGCCAATTATGAAACTTATCAGGCTAATTATAAACTGCTGGTCTCAGCCAGTTATTTCCATAACAGTTTGAAGAAGTATTTCCAGGCATTTATTGGATTGCTTTTCTTTCCCTTGGGTTCTGCAATCTTGCCCTATTTATACCACTTTAGGTACAAACCTCTCCGTTCATAGCATTTTTTTCCTTCTACAGGCCAAGGGACTTAATTTCTCTCTTCTAAAAAAAGAAAACCAAAAATGCCCAAAGCCCAGAAAACATTCTGTATACAAGAAGCTTGTATGGATACATGTAGTTGGAGAAATATTATCCTAAGTATCTAAACTGCTATTGATTTCTGAGTTAAATGCTAACTGCTATAGAAAATCATATTAGGTGTCTTTCTGCTGTTCTGTATGCCCAGGATACCTTTAAAAATCTGCTTCTTCCATGCTGAAATCTCTCCATGAACAGAAGAGCAAAATGAGGGGATCAAACAAACTATATACTTTTTGCAGCAGAATTTATCACTTATGAAAACTGCTGCTGAACTTTTCACACCAACAGTATTTATAACAGGTAGGAGGCAGGGCCCATTTCAAATACTGCTGAGATAACATGGCAACACCATTTCTGGAGAAAGAGGCCTGCGTCCAGTTTGCTCACAGTGTGGGCAGAATGATCTTGGGTTTGCACTTGCCTAAATGGACCTGTGCCCTGAAACCAAAATTCCTCTTCACAAATACAGCCTCCTAAATTAGAAGCTTATCCATGCTGTCTATAAAGCTGAACAAAGGACTGACTGTATTTCTTCTTGAAAACTATGAAGCCACTGCAGTATGTCTAATGAACAGGATTGCTGTGGGAGATGGACAAGCTGTAAGAACTAAGCTGCTCTCTTTCTGCTAATGTCAGCAGAGAAACACTCTCATGCAAGATCACTGTTAGCATAATGCTCCACTGCTGGAAGTGATAATACAAAAAAACCCCCAAACAATTCAGAGACCATGCTTGTCCCAGCGACATCACTTTTTTTCTTCCACAGCAACCTTAACAGAGGTGATGGTACAACCACTTAGTTGTTCTTCATCTCCTGCCCACTGTAAGCCAAAAGCAAAGGAGGATCTGTTTGCGAGAATAGAGGGGCATGTACCATTTGCAATTTAAAAGGGGCCTGAACTGCCTTCCGTTTTAAAAAAGGATCTCCGAGAGGAGCCAGTGAGATTGGTTGGACAGAGAAAAACACCATAGGAACAAACCCATGTGGCAGTATTTCTTGGACACAATGAAATCCCACAAGGGATCAAATGACGCCCAGGGCTTGCAGCCTATGCTTCTACCGAACCACATCTGAAACTATCAAAGGGAAAACAACTCCCAAAGACAGACAGATAGAAAAAAAGAGGAGATGGCACTATGCATTCAGAATTTTTGATAAAGAAACAAGATCAGCTATTTGTCTGTTTGCACACATACTTGGTAAGGTGAAGTCCCTGCTCACTCTGCTGGCCTTGCCACACACAAGCAGGGACACACGGTCAGTGGAGAAAAGGGAAACCGCTTCCACTGGGAACTTTCTTAAGGCCTGTAGTAGGTACAGAGCAGCAACGTGGCTCTTGGAGAGCACTGTAGAGCTTCCAAGCACAGTGCTGCTTGACGTATGGGAAGACCACTCTTGCTATTCTTAGAAAGACCACGGAGAGGAGGCCTGGATTAAGCACAGGACTCTCCCTGTCCTTCTCACATTCACACAGAAGTACACAAATGTCAAGTCCCAAGCAGGACATTTTAACAGTAGTACCTCAACACAACTCCTTTTTCAGAGCCTACTGTTGTATTTAATACTCATTCCCTCTCTTCCTTCTCCCATCCTACTTCTCACTTCTTCCCAGCACAAGCAATAACACTTGTATGTAGTCTAGTCTAAACTGGCAGCTTTTGTGTTTTGCATTTCCATTTCTGTATTGATCTAAAAGGATTGTTCAATTCTGCAGAAGATGTTCTTACCATTCCAGGTGATTTTCAACAAAGGCAGACATGGGGCTGATCTGTACAGTGTAAGTGTCGTTGGCTGAATATTCAAACAGCCCGTAATAGGGATTGAAGAGCTCCTGAGACAGAAGGAAGAAGAATTCTCGGGAGGGGCCACTGTAGTCCAACCTGGAAAGGAAAAGGTAAAAAAGATAAAATGAGGCTCGTTCCCATTTGGGTGAATTTCCTGGGGTTTGCCTACACTGACCACTGTCTAACCCTGTGCAGTCAAGTGTTTCTAACGTGATGCATCTCTCTTCTCAAAACTCAATTCTGAGCCCTGAACAAGTCACAATGCTGAAACTTCATCAGCATCCAGGTTGATTTGGGAGGAATCATAACTCGGACACATTCCTTAAGCAGTTTCTTTTCCTTTATTTCAAAGGCTTAGTAAATTGGAGGTTCAAAGCTCAGCCTTGCCTCAGCTGGCTGGCTAGCAGAGGTCTAGCCTTTTAGTGAGTTTGAACTGCCTATGGACACCTGGGTTCACAGCCCAGGCAGCCCAGACTGAAATATATATTGCTCTTACTCTCCTACACTGAGATGCAACCGAAGATACAATCTAGCCCCAGGGATGCTTTCCTAGCTATAGCTATAGCCTAGAGGTCAATGCTGAACAAGACCAAGTCCCAACGGAACTGAGTCTCTTAAGACAGAATGGTGATTCCTTAGTTGTTCCATCCAAGCTCTTCTACTTTTCTGATACTTTCAAATATGTGTGGTACACCCTTAAGCTGCCCTTTGCTGTTGCATGATTTTGCACTGTAGAGTCACTTTTTCTCCCCCCTCTTTTTTTTTTTTAAAAAAAAAAACTCAACTTTTAAATCAAGCTGTTTCCAATTATCTCAACTTGAAAAAAACCAACCCAAAAGCACTTCATGAGTGCATTAAATCCAACTGTGATGGATTTATTAAAAACAGATCGTCCTCTAATAATGGTAGGTACGTTTTCCAATCTAAAATAAATCTACATGTAGCAATATGAAGAAATGATTTGTAAGCATATATCACATGTGTCAAAAGATTTTCTGAGGTGGGCACTATTCCTTCTACTTAACAAACGTACTTTTTTCTTTGAGCAGCTTTAGCTTTAGGATCATGTGGTGAGACTAAAGCCGCAACAGCAAAAGGGGATGGTAACAAGTCCACACGAACCATTAGTGCTAACCAGGTAACAGATCTGGTTCAATGGATGTTAGAATACTGGGCTACACCCGATGATGGCTGGAGTAAAGAACTACAAACAACACCTGTCTATGTTCAAAAAACCCCAAGGAGAGACTAGGTATGGCATTTCTGGGCAACACATTAACTCATCATAAAGCCCTCATAGTTCATTTTCAATGTCATTTTAGCTTTGAAACACGTGGGAAGCTGTGCCCATACAGCATCCCGTGGCCACAGAGGATCAACTCTTCTTTTCAGGAGGGAATTGGTGTCTTGGAGACCCTCCAACAGAACCTACATTAGCATTAAACAGCAGAAACCCTAGGGGAATGTATCTTCAGATGTAAAAGAATCAGTGAAGAATGAATGAATTTGCAAATCAAATTGGTTTCTAATTTCTCCTGAGGATACCATGCCACACACAGTAAAAGTTATTAGAGATGTGGGGAAGACAACATGACTTTGGCAAGTGTTAGCATACTAGAACGCTATTCCAAAAACGCAAACAGAGCTATGCTGCATGTTTATGCTTTACTTGCAGGCCAGAGGCAAAATCAGCTGTGAAAGACAACCTCTGTTAAATAATACTAAATCCATGGAGTATAAAAACTAAGAGTTAAGTAAACCCCTGATATTGAGATCACTGAGTGACTCTCTTTGAGATTGGCGACTTCCACTGGACCTAACATTTCCTCAGACAAACTCAGCTCAGCAGAAGCTCTTCACTTGTGTTGGGTTTGTGTGTGTGGTGGGGTTTTTGGTAGTGAGGGAGGGAACTACAGCGGTGGCCCCTGTGAGAAGCTTCTCGAAGCTCCCCTGGCTCCAAATTGGAGCCACCTCTGCACCAAGGCCGAGCCAATTGATGGTGGTGGCTGCGCTTCTGCAATAACGTATTTAAGAAGGGGAACCTGGGAGGAGGAGCTGGAGTTGTGAGGAGGACACCTATGCAAACACCGAGGCCAGTGGAAGGAAGGAGGAGGAAGAGGGTGGGAGGTACACCGGAGCAGAGAGCCCTGTATCCTGTGGTGAGAGGGTAGGCTGTGCCCTGCAGCCCATGGAGGTCACCGGTGGAGCAGATGCCACCTGCAGCCCATGAAGGACCCCATGCTGGAGCAGGTGGCTGCACCCAAAGAAGGCCGGGACTCTGAGGGAAGAAGCAGCCCCCGCTGCTGTAGTTCGGTGCTGGGAGGATTGCAACATGTGGGGAGGGACCCACACTGGAGCAGCTCAGAAAGAGCTGCATCCCATGGGAAAGACTCATGTCGGAGAAAGTTTGTATAGGACTGTCTCCCATGGGAGGCACCCACGTTAGAGCAGGCAGAGAGTGTGAGGAGGAAGGAGCGGCAGAAACAATGATGATCTGACCACAACTCCCATTGCCTGCCCCCCTGAGCTGCTGGCGGGGAAGAGGGAGAGAAATCAGAAGTAAAGCTGAGCAGGGGAAGAAGGGAGGGGTGGCAGGAAGGTTTTTAAGATTTGTTCGTATTCCTCACTGTCCTACTCTGATTGGAAAATCAAGTGGTGGTGGTGGTGTTTAAATTAAATTGTTGTTCTTTTGCTTCCCCTAACAAGTCTATCTTTTGTCTGTGACCATAATGGGTGAGTCACCTCTCCCTGTCCTTGTTTCCATCCCTGATCCTTTTGTTGTATTTTCTCCTCCCCAGTCCTGAGGGGGAAGGAGTGAGCAAGTGGCTTTGTGGTGCTCAGTTGCCCTCTGGGTTTAAACCACGACAACTTGCCACCTCAGAGCTGACAGTGTCAGCAGTTGCTAGACATGCCAAGAGCTGCCCCAGAACCTTACTGTGTGTGCTGCCTTTGGAACTGAAATTCTATCCATGTGTTTGGTTTGGTTTTTTGTTTGTTTGTTTATTTAGAAAGAAACTTTATATGCAAAGCTATTGAAATACGATTTCAAGCCTTTGTTATATGGAACACTGGAAATATGCACAATGGTCTTTCCATTATAAAAGCATGTGGATTAAACCTCAATTACAGCGTAGCTCTTGAGGTGAGCCAGGGTGGCTTTGAAAGGTTCTGTTTAGATTTGGAACAAAAGGTCAGGGGCTGGCTTTAATCATACAAGAATGGCTCATGAATTTGTAAGGCTGGCAGAAAGTCTCCTGAGAAAAGGCCTTCTCAAGAGACTTCTATTACTTTCAACTTCCAACTGGGTGAATTAAACTGCAAGAACTGTATTCATGTTTCTCACTTCAGCCAGAAACAAGAAGTCCACATATGGATAGCAAATGATCATTAGATGGCATGCAAAGCAAAAATTTTTGAAGCAAAACCAGATCCATTTAGAAGAGTTAGAGTAACAAAAGGGATAAAGGTCTGGTCTCTAATTATAGCCCAGAGATTGATTCAGTGTCTAAACATGGGCCTGTAGTTCAGTTTTGCCTTCCAGCCAGTCAAAATACCTATGGCAACAAGATGACATTAGATTTAACCACTTAAATTGTCACTTTGAGACACCTGGATGGAAGGTGCTACAGGAAAACGAAGCATTATTGCTACTGTTATTTTTAACAAATGTTTGAGCTGTTGAAGATGAATCACTTCAGAGGTAAAACAAAACCAAAGAAACATTACATAACAAGAGAGGCTTAGCCTTAGTCAGCTCTAAGTGGTTTGCAACATAACAGCTACTTCAAAATCGATCGCATTTAGTGGTTCCCTACCCTTCCTCGCCAACAAACGTGACGTAGAGTTTGTTCCGCTGGAGCTCCTTGCGTGAATATGCCATTACCTGGTTGAAGGTGCCTTCCAGCAAGTGGTCACGTCGTATAATTAACCTGCACAGGGAGGCAGAAATAGAGATCTAATGATTGAGTCTTTCGTGTGAGCCTGTGAGGCTGAAGGTAAACAAGAGCTGGCAAAGAGAGACATTCATTCTCAGAGAACTTTCTTAAGTTGCATCCAGTGGTGCACATGCTACTAGACTATTGTGGGTTTTCAGTGAGTTGCTTCATTAGGCTTTTCTATATGCCTCAAAGGCGAATTTCTTCACAATGCTGAGATTAGGTTCAAAGCATTGCTCTACTGCTAAGACTCTCTAACACCCTCTATTTACAAATTTGTATGGTAGAGGGGGCTGTGAGTTTCCTATGTATATGAGGTCACAGCTTTCTGGGATTGGCCCCAAACTCTTCCTGGATTTAATCCAGTGAATGTCCATGGAATTACTGCTTCTGTAGCAGGGTAAGCAAAGGGAGTATCAGCCTCTGTTTATACAACACGCCTCTCACTCCCCCGCCAGCCTCTAAAACAACTTAATGAATAGTACATTTAAACACCATCTGTGGAAGAAATCCTTCTTGTTCATACGTTCATGGACATTTTAAGACAGATCTTCTAAAATGTATTTCGTGTCTGCCTTGGACCCACTTAGCAGGATACCAAAAGAAATAGCCAACAGCTAGGACTCCCCAACTCTGTAAGAATATTTTGGTGATGACATTTGCCTGGAATAAATTGCTTGGCTTCATACTTTTTTTTTCCACAACATATGTGATTTGAGAGGAAGCCAACCTGGTGCATAAATTCAACCAGATGCCCAGGAAATACCTTGGAAACATATAGTCCTTTGGCCAAGTTGGATAACTAGGTGGAGCACAAGTAGGTACAGACTCAAAAGCCAACAAGATGTCTGGAAAACAAACTCCACAGCCAAGTGACAGAGATCCCCAAAATACATGAAGAGAGGCAGAAATCTCTCTAGTTCAAAGCCAGGAGGGCTACCAACACAAAGAACTACTGAAAGTTAAACCTGAATGTACAGGCTAACTTCTGTAGGGTCATACTCTGGTCCTGAGTTATGCCGATATGTAGATCCAAAGGATTCGGAGTCACTCCATCACTACAGTGATATATCTGTCAATAATCTCTGGTGGGTGTTTGCCTGAATGGATGATTTTCCTACTAGCAAATCATAGGCAGGAACACCAACATCCCTGTTAAACAGGTAGGGAATGGGAGTGTAAGAGAGTATGAATCTATAAGAAATAAAACTTCCACAGAAAAGTCTCTTGAAGGTCACTTTTTTGCAGGATATACTGAGATCTTACGTTGCCCTGATGGTTCATGCACAAAAGGCAATCTCTGGTGTGTTTCTCGCTCTCTATCAGTGTCTTCATTCATGCATAATCATAAAAGATAAAGCTACACCATGTTAGGCTATTTGAGCGACTTGTCATAATACTCACTTAATTTTACCTGGGCCTTGCCCATACCCTTTGGCTTCAAGTTTTCGATAGAAATTGCGCAGCTTGGCTTCAAAGTCCCTCCTGTATGGAGAAGGTGCTCTTGCACTTGCTCGCTGCAGTCCTGGGGGGAAAATGAACAGCATCCTAAAGCGTAAGCGGCTTTAAATTTTTCCATATCACGCAGCTGATGTTTCCAAACAGAACTGGCTAACAAACACATTAGGAACTCTTTATAGGTATAGAGCGCGCTCAGTATTATTTTTGTTCTGCCTGGCATTAATGGAGTTGTAAATTCCTATAATTCAGTGATTTCAATGTCTTCCAAGAGCTGTATCTTCTTCACTAAAAGAATTGTTAAGCTTACCTTGTTTGTGCCTTTGTGTTGCCTCATCCTTTAACTGTGATTGATATGAACGGAAATTCAAGGATCAGAAAGGCATGAGAAAGACTGACATGCATAACTCCCACTCAGGGACATTGGTATTTAGCTTTCTTTTGCACTTTTAAGAGATCTCTCTCCTCTGCATTGCATAGGAGATCTACTCACTTGGCAAGATTAAACCTCTGGAGCGCAAAGCAGCACTTCTCACTGGAGCCTAGCACCATAGCCAAGCTGGGAATCGGGTTTCCCTGTGTTAATCTGACTGTATATTAAACACTTCCAGCTATCAACACAAAAACCTTTTGTGGCATCAAAGATTTCTGTCAGCAAGAAATGCTACATTTTCCTATTATGATTCACACATGCAGCAGGTTTTCAGTAATTTGGGACCTGCTTTGTTTTGAAGTCTGCATTCTCAAAGTAGCAGATTAGTCCTTTTGTATAAACAAGTGCCATGCCATAAAGGGTCAAAGAATGCATCCATGAAATCCCACTTCCCTATCTCATTAGAGAAGAGAATAAAAACAAGGCCTTTTATGAGAAATCTGGCAGAAAATCCTCCACAGGAAGGTAAAAAAAAATAAAAATAAAGTACATTTAGTGGGAACACAAAGTATCGTGGCTTCCAGGAGGGAAGGACATTACTAATTGTCTCTGCTGGTAAAACAGAAAAGCCTATTTACATGCAGTGCAAAGAGAATCCCTTGCGACACTTCTTTTCTTCTGTTAGGCTTTCTTTTCCCCCAGGACATAAGAAAATGGGTGTTTTCATGGGCTATGTAACCAGTGGCAGAAATAAGCATGCAGATAGCATGTTGCCAGAAATTAGTATTTCCCTTTCTTGTGTTTTCACAAGAACAGGTAAAGACCAGTGCACAGTTCTTTTATCATTCTCCTAAGTCATGTTCTTGCCAAATACTTAGATTTTTGTCTTGCAGTAGGCTTGTTTATGACCTGTCCTGATGTAGAGACAGGGAACTGCATTAACCATGGTGTTAAAACTCATTAATGAAAACAGGACATTCTGACAAAACACTGTCCTCCTACAGACAAGGCTTAGGCATTCAACTTCTTCACATCAAAAAACCTTCAAATTTTCCACAACCACCTCTGAGATTAGAATGTCTCTTGTCCATTAATTTTGTTTGAAACCAGATAATATAAATGAATGTTTAAAAAGCTCAGCCAGAAATGGATTTCTTCAGATCACGTTTCTGTTGATTTTCTCAAAATGGCCACTGGACACAGCCATGCAGTGAGACTGTGATGGGGGTTGTATATCTTGGCAGAAGGGAGACATTAGCTCCTCAAATTTCTATAGCATAAACAATAACTACAGAGACATACCACAGCTGGAAATAACCTTTTCAGACAGTGTGTCTTTCTGGAAAATATGTTTCCCGTCAAACGTAAGTTAATGGGCTCAACACGGGAGGTCAGACTAGATGGTCAAGATGATCCCCTCAGGTCTTAAAATAGATGAGTCTTGAGAAGAAAAGAAGTCTTTGGAACACTGAGCGGATGAAGCTGAACTTCCCAGGAGTACTGGAAGTATTGCAATACACCTTTGATTTGGAAGCTGCTCTTTGCTCCTGTCACATAACATGAATGTGCTTCCACGTCAGTGAGTTATGTTTGGAGCGCACCATTCTCTTATCCTAATCCTTTCCAACTATATAAAAAAGCAGGAAAATACCTTCTTCCATATGGGCAATTTCTGATCCCTGTGTTTCAGCTACTGTTAACATTTCAATAGATATGTAAGAGCAATGGCAACTGATCCAGCAAAAAAGAGCAGCTGGGGTCAGAATCAGAGCAGGCTGACAGCTGATGCTGGCTCTAAATCTGTATTTATTAGGAGAAACACCACAAATGCAGGATTTTGTAGTATTTTCCCCATCCCTTTACCTGGAGAATTTTGGGGTGATGAACAGGGTGAGCAGCGAGGAGAGAAACTGTAACCAGGATGGAAGGCGGCCTGCAGTGGTATGTAGGACATAATATCCTCTTCAAAAAGGCTGCATGGAAAAAGGGATAGGGAGAGATTTGATTCCCATTCATCACATGAAGGAATGTAAATGTGCAGTATGGTGCGAGTCTGCTGCGGTCATAAGTTTGGGTACATCTCTGAACTTATGGGTGAATAAAATCCATGGGGTTCCCAAATCAGGCATGGTCATCAGTAACAAAGAAGAACAAAATTAATTTTATTAGATGTTTCATGCTAACACAGTGGCCCAGTCTACTGATAGAGAGTAAGGATTTGAGGCTACATAGTAAACAGGGACAACTTCAGCACGGTAGCAGTGAGAAGCAAAGATACACACATCTGTCTCCCAGGTTGTTTTGTTTAGGTCATACATTTTCATATAGCTCAGCTCTTTGACCATTCAATTTAAATTGATGGGAATAAACTGTAAACTTCTTGCATTAGGCAGTTCTATACAGCATACCACACCCACCTGGGTAATGCAACGTTTTCCATGTAAGACCAAGACAAAAAAATAAGTCCTTATCTGTGCTGAACAAAAGTAGCTAGGACCTAAAGCCCAAATTGAAGTAAAAATGGAAGCTTTATCTACATTACCCAAGCAATGCTCACTGCAGTGTACATTGGGGTTTCATTAGTGCGACATGGCCCTGTGTGTGCAAGCAGCACTACTGTAGTAAAACTAGCAATTTCATGAGCAGTTACATTATTTACTTATACTGAAAAGCACAAGCTTTTTCCTTTTTCTTTTTTTTTTCTTTTTTTTTTTTTTAAAAAAAAGGGAAACAGGAATTTTTCCGTTAGAAGGAAGCATTTTGACCTGATTCTTTTTTATCTACAACTTGATGCTAACAGCTATATTGATTTTGCTGGCTGGGGACAGAGTTTACTGCACTGAGGGAGGCTGCCTTCCCTAAAGTAAGAGTTGACAGATACACTGTGGCTGAATTATTTTGGGTGACTACCAGTAACAATGAATCCTATTCCAATTACAAATGACCTGGAAGATTTCACAAAATGTTTTCAATTATGCCGAGAAAGAGCCAGCCAGCCAGCTTCTCTGGTACCATAAGTAATGAAACCATGCTTTTGATCAAATTGATTACCTCAGCAGAATTACTAAATCTGCATCACAGGACAACTTTTCAAGCCCATGTGTACCCTCTGTCCGAATGTAATGGATCTTCTCCCTGAAACATAATTGATATTATTGAGAAGAGAAGAAAGAAAAAAACTGAAAATGTGCCATTATCAAGGCATGAACTATGCACAGTTATTATTCCTTGGTATTTTGCCAGTTCCTGTTTCTCTCCTTACAAAAATGGCAAACATCTTAACTGCCTGATTCATTTTTGAATCTCACTAACAAACTTGCAAAAAGGAATCTATTTATATCACTCAGTTTCCAGATCCAAAACCAAGAGATTTTATACCATGTTTTAGAAAACAGACTGATTCTTAGTCCTCCAAGCTCATGTGTAGTGCTATACCTAAGGCCACTGACAGATTTTTTGTTTAAGGCTACAACTAATATACCTCCTTTCTTTAACAGAATTCCACATAACATTACTTCCTTTACCTCTGTCAGCTCTATCTGGCGAATAACACTCTAACATATACTTGATGTTAATTGATCACACAAAGGTTATACAGTACATGTCTAAAATCATACATTTTGTTGTTTAAATTAATGCTTTTAAGGAGTGGGAAACATAGAATAGGATTCTATCAGCAGATGAGGACCATGCAAGATACAGATTTACACCCCAGTCTGCCAGTGTGCTTCCAAAGCATTGCAGTGTCCAAGAATATTTACTCTACTGTCAAGTCGAAGGATCCATCCTCAAGTCAAGGATGTGCTGTAGTACCTTGCTGGGTGGGGCTGCAATGTATTGCAGAGTCAAGCCCCGTAAAAGATGGACATTTGTCTCCCAGGAGTTTGGTTAATACCTGGTGTATGAGCATTGGACGGTAGCTTGGGATCACTCCTGACCTACGGTATAATCAAAGCAATGACCTGGAGGCAAAGGGCTCAATATCCTGTTACAAATCTTATTATGCACTGGCTAAGCTGTCTAGTCCCTATCACTAGTCAATTTTGTTCTCTGCTCAAAAGGAGATAAAAGCATCATCTGTTCTCTGAGAAATGAGAATTCAAATTACAGCTGAGAAGGAAAAATAGTCTGGAATAATTTGATGGTGAAGATAAAAAATTCTCAGTTACAGAAACATGCATCTTGAATACTGGGAGCATTTTTCATTCTGTCTCCCTCATTTTATTTGAATGTATTAATTCCTCCAGGAAGGAAGTCTAATCCTTACACCCAAAGAACTCTTTGTCTGGCCCTCACAGGTAAATGACGACTCAGTAAGGCTATCAGCAGAAACTGCAGTGCAGGAGCTTGAAGGTCCTTCCTTCACTCCTCCTTCCCTCCTTTGGAGCCCTGCAAGCTGCACTTTTTACTGCTCAGTACAAACTGAGCTGGTGCACACTGGCATTGCTGAGACTGACAAATGCCAGCTTAGGTTTTTGGCCAAAACAATTAATTTAACATTTGGAATTAGAATGAATTTAAATTGTACTGGCTTTTGGTTCTGTTTTTTCTTTTTTTTTTTTTTTTTAAAACCTAATAGGAAAGGAATGGGCATAAGAAAAAGAAAGATATAATTTAATTACTTTGGAAAGGACTACCATTAAGTCATAAGTGAGAAAGATTAAAGACAGGAATACAATCTACTCCATAATATTCCTGTTTCTTTATAAAATCTATGGTGACTGTGTACCATGGGTGTAAATCCAACCATGAGGCAAAATCCTGGTTCTGGTGAAGTTACTGGGCTTTTGCTGCTGACTTCCATCCAAACACAATTTTAACCCTATCTTCTGAAAAGCAAAGTGATAATTGTAGGTGAAGACAGAGTTTCTGCTATTCGGTAGTACTTAAAATGGAAATTAGAGATGTCACTATGTGCCCATAGTTATTTTGGTTCTTACTTCTTGGGTGTCTGTGGAAAATAACTGCAGTAACTACACAGATTCTGGTGGTCCACACCTGCTCTCTAATGGTGACAGTTCCATATGGAGCCCAAGTTCGTCTTCTGTACTACAGTTACTAGAATTGAGTTTTTCCCCACTATGAGAAGTCCTTCCTGGAATTTGGTTTCAGCTGTCTGGAAAAAAGCGGTACCTGAGTGCATGGTTTCTGGCCAAGCTGGGCTGACGCTCCTGCAGCATCTCAAAAATGTTGGGTTGGCGTAGAAATGCAACAATCTTGTCATTGTAAGCTGGAAAGGAGAAAAAAAAGTAAAATACAGAGGCTTTATTTAGCACTGAGGGGGGCTGGCCACGTCACCATGACTGTGCAGGGGCCCACTGACTGCACTGCGAGTGAGGCACGGGGCAACATGAAGCCGGGCGTGTGGTTGATGAGTTCTGAAAAGCATCTTTGTGAGCACTGCTGTGACAAGAAAAGAGAAACTTGGCTTACCCAGAGGTAATGTCTCGTGATGGTGCTGGTTTCGAATAGCTGTTACGAGACTATTGCCTGGTCTGGCTAACAGAGTAACTCCTCTGTTTCGAGAGACTTCGGAGGCCTACAACATCAGAGGAAAGGGAAAGAATGATCAGAACTGACCATCGGTAGCACATCAGTCAGTAAAAAGGTTCCTCATCTTTACGTCTGTAACCTTCAGAGCGGTCCATGATGATGTCTGACTGAAGGACATAAAGCCTGCATCAAAATTATAGTTTTATACTTCAGCAAACTTAAAAAAAAGCAAGGAAGTCTGTGCTTCCACAGGGAGGGACACCATTATCCACAGCTCTCACACCTCTTTGATGCTGCAGTGTAGGCACCACAATCCAGAAGTAAATGCAAGTTAATAAAGGTGTTGTAGTTCTCTGATTCAATAAAAATAAAATCTCTGTAATATCATACAGTCTCTTATTCTAGCATAACTGCATTTACTTCAAGGTTTTCACAGCAATGCTAATTTGAAAAAAGAAGAAAACCCACAGCACTGCAACATGTTCACTCAGCACTGTTGAAGAGAAATTTAATATTGGAAATAACATGGGGAAGGTATATGTATGTCGATCACAGGACAGAAAAGGGCTATGTTATCGCAAAAGGGGGTTACCTAACTTGCACAACCAGAAATAGAAGCTGAATTGTATACACTGAAAAAAGAACATCATTCGAAGAGCTGATAAAAAGAGTAGTAGGAAGGAAATTTATCACTACTAAACTGAGGCACTTAAAGAATGCCACTGTCCTAAACACAGTATCTAGTGAAGGAAATCATCTCAGGAAGGCAGATACATTAAAAGGTGGGAAAGCACTTAGGTATGAGGGTATTAAAAACCATACAATGAGGCCTGGTGATCTCTCTTCAGTAAGTCATCACTTGCTGGGTAACCCCTTGGGGACTTGTGCAAGCTGAGGGGAACCCACCTCTCCCTCGATATGTGTTCCTCCAGAACATGGCCATGGCGAAGCCAACAGAGGAGCACGGCTACAAAATCAGTGTGAGGACACCCTGTATCAGGACAAGAAGTGTTAAGAATTCCAACTGCCATTCTCCGGGGCTAACAGCTGCTCCTTTCTCACTGCACAAATTGTAGTACTTGGCAACCACTTCAGGAAGAAATTGCCCTTACTCCAGTATTTTAAATGCTTAGCTCTGCATCCAAGCAAATGGTGCCAATCCATTTTCAGTGCTACGGCCAAATGCCAGGTCTTCCAACTGGATATAAATGAAAACCAAGAAGCTAAATGTGACTGGCAAGTTGCCTTCGGAGCACATAAAGCATAAAGTGTTTATATGTAACAAGATACCAGTCAATGCATTTGCTATATGTCAATACACAGGTTAAACAATGAAAAATCTTAATGATTCTAATTAAATATACTGTAATTGAAAACACAAAATTGCTGTGGAAGTGCATGGCGGATGTTTCGCTCCATCATTCAATCGTGATTTCACTTGCACCCGTTTCATATTGGTATCCATCTGCTGACTGCAGGAGAGTCACCCCAGCCCAGGACAACCGTCAAGCCCTCGGTTTTCATCAGACTGATGTGCTAACCTCGGTCCAACCCTTCTCACCTTTAAAACCAGGAAGAACTGTCAAGCAAGTCATACACAATCCACAAAGTCCCTCTGTGCTGTGCTAAACCTGCCTTTTGTCTCCTTCTCAGAGCCCCGTGGGCCAGCTGACACTGCACGTTTAGCTCAGGCTCAGGCAGGTTTTGCCCCGTGGCCCAGGCACCCACACTGACAGGCACCCCGCGTCCTTCACGGCCCCCGCTCCCTGCCGTGGGACAAGGAGGCAGCTTAGGCCCTGTGCACCCCTTAATGTAATAAACTGCACACTCCATGGAGCTGTGCTTCTCCTCAGCAGCACCATTAGGCATCGCTAATGCTGTGCTTGGATCACGGTCTTTACATATTTACACCTCCAAACAATTTTTCTCTGGCAACACAACAGGAAAATTCCCAGCTGTCTAATTAACTTCCATTTTGCTAACACTCCTCTTTCCAATCTTTCAGCTGATATAGTACAATTGATTGCTCCAATTCACTGTTTAATCACAATCTCCTTGTCTAGTTTGACTTTCTAATTGAATCATTTAATTTAGATTAGCACATTATTCTCTCATTAAAAAAATGAAAAGCGTGACCCCTCTAATGATTTAGTGACCTGGTTCATCTAGTGCAGGGTAATCCGGCAGATTTATGGCAGGGTTTAGCAGCTTTGTGATTGATACCGGGATATTGTAACCAGAGTGGAGAGTCCAAACTATCACAGGAGCCTTTCAGTGGTATAATACCCTTTCCCGGGTTTCACATCACTGCTGGCTTTGAGAGGCTCCCGACTGCTTGAATCCTGCTACTTGCTTCTTGTGGTTTGGGTCAGTAAGGAGATTTACATCCTGCTATATTCCAGTACCTCCTCTGCTTTTCTTGGTAACCAGAAACTCTTGCCTCTCCATTATGGATGCCTGATTCTTTCATCTTTTTGTCTTTAAAATCTCTACCCTGTAATCATACATGTTGACTGCCGCTGCAGACGGAAAGTCCCTTTGAGGGAATGGAAAGTGCTTCTGACCTGTTCTGTTTACAGCAGTGGCAGAAAGAAAGGAAGCACTTAGTGACCTAGGTTTTTTTAGTTACTGATGGCCAGTACATCCACCTGAACTTTTCTTTCAAAAATCAGGTAACCAAGAGTAGCACCAACCGCCTTTTTTTTTCTCCTGTAAAAAATCGATACCCTTAAAGAAGTGCTTAGTAAAGAATCTGTAGCATTTCTGTCAAATTTATATATAATACTATTTAATATCAAGAATCTACTCAGGTGGACATCAAAAGTTTTTACAGAGGTCCTTCATTTAGCAGAATAAAGAAAAGCATAAATATTACAGATTGATTTATAAAATGGATGCCTTCTTTCTGGAAGACAGACATGGAGTACCATTATTTGCACAAATAATTAAAAAAAAAAAAAAACAAAAACAAACACAGCCCACCATATAGGGATTAAGGGAAAAAGGGCAGTTTTAATTTCTACTTGGCCTGTTAGTGGTTGGGGTAGGCCTTGAATAAAAGTACTTTGAAGCAACAGCCAGACTTCTATAGAAGCTGTGCAGCTGCTATTTCTATTCTCAACTGAGAATGAATTTTAAATGTCATAAAAGAAAGAAAACTGCTGTATTTGAGAAAGCATACTTTAATGTTCTGATTTCATGAGGGAGTTTTAAAAATACATTTGAAATACTAAAAATCAATTCTTTTTTAGTATTGCAAGGTATTCTGTTCAACACCACAGATTATTAGGCAGGAATCAAGGTCACATTTTGATGAGCCAGAAAGATTTAGAAGATTCATAGATGCCACAGAAAGGAGGGCAGGAGATTACCATTTTCATTTCAACGCCACAGCCTATTCACTGCACTGGCCTTGGCCAGGGAGCTCGGAAACTCCTTGGTGACTCAGATAAAACTGGATTTTGCACTATGTTTTGGGCTGAAAGTATGAAGAAATGGGAAACTAATACCCACATAATCGTTAGTTCTTATGGTTAACTGTTCTCACTGAATTTTAACCCTGCCTTATTTTGATTGAACTGGTTTGGCTTTTACTACCAAAACTTCATTCCTGTAATGCCTGTCCTCTCCTAGATTAAACAGATCTTTCTATTAATTTTCTAAGAATTCCAGACACTAGATTTGCTTTTTTGTCCACTCTTGAGTACTGAGATCACAATTTCTTAGAACCATAATAATTTCTTTATGGTGACTCAGAAAGAGCCACTGCTGAGCGTGTGAAGTTGGGGTATTTCTTTTTTCCCACTTTGGTCTCATCTGCCTATGACTTTTGTCTGGTCTTTCCTCACCTGATCACTCAGTGTCACAAAGTCCCTGGGAAGCCCACACTCTGGCAATTCGTTTTGGCACTCGGGCAGGGTGTCAGGTGTGTGCACCAAGGCAGGGGGTAGAGTTTTGCCTCTCATTACCCCGGCTCTTTCCTATACCCTCTCTGGCACCCACAGGCAATTATGACTGAAGCTGCACTGTTCTGCTCTCCTCCAGGCTCGTCTGACATCTGTACATACTGTTCGAAACTGGTGGTTGTCTTCCTTGGTCCTTCATACTGTCCTGGTGGCAGATTCCAGAGGCCACACCACCTGCTCAGCAAAGAAACCAGCTGGGCTGCAGACAGTTCACACATGGCCAGGACAAAGCCCCAAGGGTGTGCCTACAGACATGATTTATAGGATAAAAGCACATCCAAATAGGCTTGGTATGGAACATGCAGCTCTTAATAAATGGGCTGAGCTGCAAAGCCTCGAATCTTTTCCTTGTAAACGGTGGGCTTTTAGGCACTGGTCCAAAGTCCTTGGAAATCAATGGGAGTCCTTCCAGTGGAGAGCAGATACTTCCAGAAGGGAAGCTACTGACTACGACAAGGGTGCAGAAGCACTGTGGGACCTGGGGCCACAGGGCCTGTGAGCTGATGGCACCAGGCCGATGGCTCCCGAGACAGAAGGCCCCGTTTCACTGGTTGATCACGCCAAACCAGGGGCCTCAACGAACAGTTTACAGTTTTCCTAGAGAATCATTACCCAAAAGTATTCAATGTTTTTTCACTCACTTTCCTTTACTTGATATTTTGGGTTTATCGCAAGTTGTTCTTTGCCAGCACTTGCAAAACCAAGTGTATACCTTGGGCTAGGTCATCTGAGTTGCTCAGTGGTGTTTCTGTCCCTGACACGGCGAATTTGTAAGCAAGCTCCAGGCAAGCAGGGGCCCAAATGTCAATCACCATGCAGGTGACTTTCACGTTCACATCAATAATTCAGTCACACTAGCAACTCTAAGCTGCAAACTGTTGGCAGAGGAAAATTGCTAAGTTGGTGGGAAGATGTGATTGAAACAGAGCCACTGACACACTTCTATCTTTGGAAAATATGTTGCTATATTCACCCAAAGTGGGGAAAACCTGCCCAAGTTACTCATGCCTGGTCTGCCTTTGGTCCTGAAGTACTGACCTCAGTAGTCAGTCCTTACCTAGTCAGCTCCTGATGCCAGCCCCAGTTGGCAGCTGCAATAAATTTTAATGTTAACTTCATAAACATCTCTCTGGATGTTCTTCTGCAAGAGGAAGATACTTTGGCCATAATTCATCTCCACTCCTGTTCAGCTTCATTCAGCTCCAATCTTTACAAATCTTCAACTGTGCAGATCTGCTATATGAGGAATCTGATTGCTGGCACTTTTTCCTCCTTAAATCAACAATACAAACCCAGGATTTATGCTTCTATCAATCCTGCTCATGGCCCTCAGTGATAAAAATCATCCCCATGAAACATAGGGAAGATGTTTAATGTGATTGAAAGCTAGGGAAGCAAACCTCAACATACGTTACTATACTACTTCTAGGGAGTATGTCTTTTCAGAGCACAGCTTCACAGTGGGGAATGAAGAAACATGAGGCTGCTGAAGTATCAGGATATAAAAATAATGAATGACTTGACTTTACTAAAGCAAGACTAGGATGTCAAATATGGATTCTTCTTTTAAAATCTATTTTGTCATCATTTCACTTCAGTTATTTAGTTTTACTTGTTTATTATTTTATTTTGAAAACTGTCAAAATGTCAGCCTTCATTACCAGCAAACTGAGATAAACCCTTCAGAAAGAAAAAAAATCCCTTATTTCCTTTGGAAGATAAAAATCCACAAGACAGCCTGATTAAATGCATTTCACAGATAAGAAGTGCTTTTAATTCTACAGAAGACTGCTGTCAAAAGTAACTGTATTGATACTAGCACAGTTACCTCTCCAGCGCTGTAGCTACGAAGCCGCTGAAGATGTTGCCTGTGAGTCAGGTGGTTAGGGAGACGACCGTTCTGCAGCGGGATCCTGGGATCTATGAAAGTGGTGGCACGGCTATTGTGGTCAACGAAGAAAGACTGAAACACACAGGAACAATGGGTTTTTTTTAAGAAGACTGCCAACACTGCGATGGTATTGTGGGTTCATAAACTGGAAACCACTGGGAATTGTGTGTCAGAAATACTCTGTTTGGGTACAGTCCATGGAAGATTATCTGCAAACAACAGGACTTTCTTAGTTGAAGCTAGAATAGCTCTTGGAAAATACCTGAAGTTACGTAGGTCAAAATCATGTGTAATGGCCATGAAATAAGCAAGACAGAATAGAAAAAAATCACTGGGGAATGCTGCTTTAGCCTATTTGGTGATTTCAGAAGTCACTCAGCAAAGCTTCATTAGAAGGCAGAGACACTAAGCTAAATTTTGCAGTCATGACAGATCTAAGCTCTGGCTTAAACTTTTGATTAGTCCAGTGCTGCCCTGGCTACGGTGTGAAAGCTACAGTCACCACCGTGCTTCGAAACATTTGCTCCTCAAGCTTTTTTCTGCTTCTAAAATAACTCCACTTGCTGCTTGTGTTGTTTAAACCAGACCTTCACCAATTTTCAATCAAGAAGGTAGGAACCTTCAATAGTCATGTGGCCTGATGTGCTGTGTTCAACAAGTGTTTCGTTTTGTTGGCACTCTTACCTTGCCCTGCTGGTCAGTTTTTATCTCCCAGCCACGAGGAAGCTCCAGTCGGGTATCAGCAAACATGTTGATAAAATTTACCAGGTCTCTGTTGTGCTGATAGCGCTCAAAATTACGAGCATCTCGACGGATCTTCAGAATCATATGCTTCAAGCAGGTACTGTTAGTGAAGACTCGATAGGCACTCTATGAGATGGAAAATGGAAGTGAGGAAAACCAGGTCTGATATCAAAACAACATATTTGGTTATTTCGTGGGGCGTATGCCCGAAGAACTGAAACAAATCCTGTTAGAGTCAAGAATCATTTCCATCTCACTGTTTTGATTTGAATGAATACTTTACACGAACACCTAGAATTAAGAAATACAATCTGGAAAGTGAAACGTCCCACACCGCATAAACTGCATTTCTAATGCACTCTGAAAAGATGGCCAGCTAAAACACCACACACTCAAGACGCACGTAGTTGTGCCTATTTCATTGCTTTCACCGGTCATCAGAAACACTGCTTGTGTGACCGGATGGTGCCAGAGATACCCAAGGACAGCTGTGAGCATGTATTTATGCTATAATTCAAGTCAAGATGAATGTGATAGGATTCATGAACTTAAGAGGACTGCAGTGCAGGTGCCTACATCTAAGCTTGTGACCTTATTTACGGTCACTTTATAGCCACAGAACAGAAACAGACACTTTCAAGGGTCTATTTTTGGAAGATACGAATCGTTTCCTGGCACTGAATATTTGTTTCTGCAATGACTACAAAGCATGTCATACAGAGACGTTTTCATGAGTCAGATGAACGCCACCCCTCAGGCAGCTAGTTGTATCTCACAAAGGGCATTAAATAAACCACTTAGAGGAACCTGCCCTGATGCAGTTCTGAGTGAGTTAGTGCCGATCTGGTTGCAGGCTGGGGGACAAAGGGAACTATATTTATTGCCACAGTGTATTTAATGATAGAGCATCACAAAATACACTTGTGGTGACAACACTTTTTCTCATCCACAGGCTACTCTTGGGATCTTGGGATCTTTTACTTCAGGGAAAAAGCTCCTCAAGACAGGGTAGGAAACTTTACAGAGATCTGCAACCCTTCTGAGCATTTCACTAGAGAGAAAATGAGTGTATTGGTTCTGCTGGTCAGCCCAAAGGATTTAATTACTCACCAGAGTAATAAAGGATCACTGGAGGACTTGTGTCTCCAGTGAAGTGAGTCCCAGTGTGCACACCTGTAATCTGTCCAGAGAATCTGACCCAACAGCTTTGAATGGTCAGTGTCCGTCTGCTTTTAATGCATTTTAACCACTATAATGCAATAAAACATTTACAAGTATTATCTCTATTATGTAAGGATTTATCATGGTGGTAGCACTGAGAAGAGAATACTCCCTGTAGCACAGGGTCCCTAATTATGGCAAGGGTTGGTAAATGTTATGAAATCACAGAGATATGATCTCTGCCCTGAAGATATGACCTCGTTATAACCCAGGAAAGCTTCATGGTCACAAATTGCTAAGATCTCAGACTACTCCATGACAGAAGTTGTATTTTGATCTAATGTGTGATCAGTGACTGTCTGAGTATCTCTTAGCTGCACTAGGGAAACAAAGAAGTGTAATGCAGTTTTATCCCTCTGTGGAAATATCTGAAGAATAAGAGTCTTTCCCTTTTAATTCTAACTGCTGGATAGTATTTTCCAATCCCAACTTCATTGGCATAATTAATAGCTTAAAATTTTAATAGGGGCTTGTGGTTAAAATATTACAACTATGTTATGCCAGAAGTTATGTGGGCTATTATTTCTGTACAAGTGGAATCCGTATGACCATTTGACAGGCATTTCAATAGATTTTTCTGGCTCTCGTACTAGAGACAACTTTATATGCTGAAACCGAAGGCCTCTCTTGTCTTTTTTTATTTCAGGGAGAAATAAAATTGGGATTCAGTCTCTTGTGAGCTGTTCCTTACACCACCGGGGAATCAGTCGCTCATTTTGCAAACAACTATGCCGAACGAAAATGATATTGCTCCCAACTATACAGCATCATATATCACCCTGTCAATGTAAGAAATTAGGTGCACTCTGTAACCTAGCTCAGGTAATGTCAGATGTGTTAATATATGCCTTCCTCTGCAGGATTTCAGGGGCAATAATCTCTGGCAGATGCTTGGAAGTGGACAGCTGGCTCCAACCCGCAAAGCACCACAGCCAAAACTTGATGTCTGTAGTTAGCTGAAGACCTGTGCTGAGGCTACTCCTGAAGTGTTTCTTTTCCTTTCAAAAACAAAGGTCATCCCTACCCAGAAATGGATGACTTTCCAAATATTCAGAGGTCATGTGTAGATGTCTAGCTGAACTACATTCAAGATATGGAAAACGAGGACTGCATCTCCTTGTGAGATTTCCCTATCTGCTTCCTCCTGGTTGACCTATCATTAAATTTTTTCCACTCCACACCAGGTTTGCAAGAAAACATGCAGATTTATTGTATTAATGAAAAAAAAAACCCAAACCTTACTTGAATTTTGAAAATTTGTTTTCATTCTTGTTTTTTCCAAAATAGCTATGCTGACCCAAAGTCAGCATTTCTTTCATGGCATTGTGCCCACCTGCTTCTTGGGAGTGCAAACTCCACGAGTTAATAATTTTTTCCCTCTGTTTCCCTGAGACTTGGTGGTATCTGGGTAAGATTTCTCAGGAACATGGCTCAAAAAGCAACAACCTCACTCCTTTCAGAAACAGAATCAACCAAGCCAAAACCAAGGGTTCCTGCTTATTCTGGAAAGATAACATTCATGAGCTTCTCTGTACCAGGGAATTTCTTGAATCGCAGCAAGAGATTCCTCAGAGCAGCCTGCCTGTGCTATCCCCAACCTGGGCTGGTGTTCAAAAAGGACAACTGAGCCCCGAGTCACGCAATTCAAATTCCCTGTGCATTCTCCCCAGAGGCCTGGGGCACAGTTTTTGGATTCAGAAATCACTAGTGTGAGAGAGCGAATCATAATTACTCACATAGTTTGCATGCAGCACAGTGAAGAACTCCGGATTGGTGATGAACTTCACAGCTGGAGACTGCAGCAACAAGGTGATTTTTTGAGAATTCACAGGAGAAAGAGAACCTTCTCTCCTAATCTCTGGACAAAAAAAAAAAAAAAAAAAAAAAAAAATGCAGCAAAATCTTATTAAGGTAGTGGCAAGTGCAGTCTATTATTTAACCTTTAATGAATAGCCACAAAGTGACCAAAAAAGTCACCATCCTGCCCAGTGCACCCACCTTCTGTGTGTCTCCAAGCCTGCTGGCAAACTGGTAGATGTTCTCCTTAGGATTAGCGGTGCAGTGCTTACGGCAGCAGGGCAGGAGCTGGACGCTTTTCTGTACTGTATGTTATAAAACTCTGTGTCACAGCTGCTGCTGTGTCTAAATATCAGTGTGACCACAACAGCTCTTACCAGCTCATGGTTCGGTTCTGTACTGACACCCAGGTCCTGACCAGTTCCTCCTACTGGTGATTTTAGCCAGACCTGATTTCCCAATCCAGTTCACCAGCAGAAACCACCTGGTAGCAGGACGGGGTTAAGGAAGTCCCCTCACGCTCACATCCATGTTGGTGCTGCAGAGCATCACCCGTTACTTGTAACTGCATTATTTTTGGCAAGTCCATGGTTTTGGGGACTTGTATGGTAACGAAAACAAAAACGGACACAAAGGGATTATTTTTAACCTGTATCAATTTGCGAAGCACAGGAGCAGAACAAAGCATTTGAGAATGTAACGCTGTAGAGGTGGGAACTCCTTGACTTTCTACAGCCTTCCAAAAAATGCTTCCTACCATGGAATTATGGCTTGAGTGTGCAGTTCTGGCATTTTCCAATACAAGCCAACTTTCATTTGCAGTCCAAGGAAATTGGATGTAGATGTCATCAACAGAATAAATACAGTTTCCCACTTGTTTCTTATCAATTATCACTTTTTTTTCCTTACTGCTAGACACATCATATTATTTTATCCACTTAAAGCTCCAGACTGGATCCATTGCTGGAGTTAAATTGATTTACACTGGTTTAGAATCTCGATTAGTGTGCCTAAATTGTATTCCTTCTGACATTTTTCATTTAAATTAAAAGGCAAATAGCAAATACACAATACTGCAGCTTTTTCTTATTCTAGCGTGGTTTACAACACCCTTGATCTTTTAGTTCTTGACATTTTATACAATATTGACTTTTTCTCTTAAAAGCAAAGCAAGTGTCTATAGCAAAAACCATTTCCTAATCATGTAAGATGACATATATCATATACTATTATCTCTTCAGGGTTAGAACAAAAAAGTGAATGTTACATAATAAACTGACCTAAATACTTACTGGTAGCAATTACTATTCAATCCCTATTTTATTGTGTAGGCTATGGTAGTAAATGATTATACATATTACAAGTAATGACTACATTACTTATCATTTAAATACTAATAATACTTGTACCTCATTTCCATTTCAGCTGCTAATAGAAAGGACTGTGTTCTCCCTATAAGATCCAATGTAGGTAAAAGGCATCCATAAATTGCAATACAAAGGATTGCAAGGAGGGTTTGAGTATCAAACGTTAAACATTCTTGGTCAAAATTGAATTTCAAGCTAAAAACACCTAATGGATCAGGAAAACAAACAGGCAAAATTGAGTAATTTTCTAAACTTATTGAAAGAAAAAAAAGTAAGTTCACCGTTTCTCTGTATAATTTTTCCTATTCAAAATGGAACATTAAGAAAATTCAAGCAGATGTTGTGTTGCTCCGTTCCCTTTGCCAACGCTATTTACAGAGGGATGGCAAAAGGATGGCAGAAGTCAGATTTACTTCCAGCTGACAACACAGAACACCAGGTTAGGTGGAGGTGAGAATGATCCAAAGGAAGAGAACTGGCTGTTCATTTTGGTGGTACAAGTTCTCAGGCAAAGCAAATAGCTATTTTTCACATGTCCACAACTTGCATAGTGGGCACTAGTCTGATTGCTGGTGTTTCTTACCTGAAACAAACATTTATGCTATTGTTTTACAAATGTTTTAAGAAAATGGAGTATGACTACCACCAAAAAGAGTAGAAGAGTTCCCTGACACCCCATCCTGTCCTGGGTGCACGTTCTCCTCTTCTTCTGTCTAGTGACACTCATTCTCATCCAACCATCTAATGAACCAGATGAAAGAACCAATCTGGCTGTAAACAACATTAAGTACAAGAAACAAGGTTATTTTTGAGGCAGATTGGTTCTCTGCTCTGTTATGGAGTCCTGTCGCATAATCTAGTGATAAGCAAAAAGACAGCTATGCCTCCTGCAGAGGCAGCCCACACTTAGATCAGCTCATAGCTATCGCAAAATTGCAGCTTTAAAACCCCAAGTATTTCGTGCTGGATGCCAGGGTCACTGCAGGTGTGACCACATGGGCAAATGTGGCAGCGCAGAAACCATGCCCAGAGAGAACAAACTGCAGTGCCCCAAGACAAAAATCACACTGCAGCAAAAATAAGACAGCACTGTTTTTGCAGCTCCTAAGGCGAATAAAAACCAGATGCCTTTTCCATTTTGATTCCAAATAGCCCTTTACGAAAGTAAAAATGCCTTGTCTGTCTTAGTGGTTGTTAAAAAGGAACGAAGGCCCTTTGTATCTGGCTTTGTACTTGGAGCTGCAGGTCTAAAACCTGTGGTTTCAGGTCTAAAGCTCTTTTCTTTTAATTAGTTTTGCAAGCTGGTACAATAAAGTTGCAGTCTCCCATGGAAACACAGATATCCCCCAAACTGAATGGCACTGAACATGCCACTCAAAACCTTTTTTCCCCGTACCTGAGCTTGGCTGGGAAGGCTCTGCCTCAGAGTCGCTTCCTCCTCCAGTGGGAACTCTCTCCACCCTGTTCACTACAGCATCGTCTTCAGTCCGCTCCGTTGCAATAGTTCGCTGGATATTTTGGTACCTACATCCATTCAGAGAAAGGAACAACATGCTTTAGTTAACAGCTTTCTGGTGCTTTCTACCGTAACAATCAGCACTGGTTTTGAATGATTCCAGTAATTCTATCTTCAGCACACGACAGAATAAGAGCCTGAGTCTTCCCCTTCAACCGATGCAGCTACTCACACTTGGGCCAACCATTACTCTGCAAATAATGGCATCTTGCACTGACTAACTAACAAGTAGCTACAGAAGATGCAAAGCAAGGAATGCTCAAAGGTGAAGTTTACACGGGTATTTAGGCTACAGGTTGCTACTAGGCTTCCCTTTAAAACATCTGGACGTCTGAAACCTGAAACTACTGATGGATCATGGTTCCCCCTGTCATTTCATCCTATGGTAGCGTAACCAGTGAAGTAAGGATTGATCCTGTGATGCACTGAGTACCCTTCAGTCTTTCTTATTACAATATTGGATGCACATGCTCAACCCTAAAAAGGTAAAGGCTATTAAGAGTGTTCACAAAACGTTTATTACAATACTGCATGGCCAACAGGTTGTGAACACTTCCATTTTGGTAGGCAATATGGAATGCAAAGTAGTAGGTGGCATGACCTCAGGGAGCTACATCTAATTGAAACGACAGCCACGGGAAAGTACAACAGGATGTAACACATGAGCTGAGTGGACAGCATGAGGATGCAAAAGCATTATGTTCATTTTTTGAAACCAGTGGGACTGGGCATTCAGCTTGGGTGGTGACTAGTTGCAGAGCAAGGAAAAGGAAACAATATAGAGATAAGCAAACAACAGCAAGGGGGACAACAGAAGAGCATTCTTAATAAAAACCTGAGAACGCCTTAAAAAAAACCACCTGTGTAATTTCCATGGAACTAATTGCCACATTAGTTGATGTCAATGGGACTGATCATGGTCTTAGGGATGAGCCCAACCCTAAATACTTCACCAGATCAGGAACAAAACATATATCTGGTCATGGAAATAACCTGGAGTGTTTTAAATTTGCACTACACAAAACAAATTCTAGTTAACTTGTTCACTCATATAGACCGATGAGTAAGATGAGAGTTCAAGACTTCTTTGGTTCTACTGGTAAGTTATGAATATGTCTTATATACTGAATAAGAAAATATATTTTATATACAGAGAGAGAAGGAAAAGAAAAAGAAAGCATAAGAAGAAAGAGGAAGAGAGAAGCAGAAAGTAAATGAAAGAAAGAAAATAGGCTATCTTAATTATTTTAATTAGCTTTTCCTCCACTCCAGTATTTTTAATCCTTATTTCTGGATTGCTTTTCCATATGCATATAAAACAGGATGGCTTTATTGCCTGCATTTAATCTGATCCAGCATTGTTTGCGTCTCTTTTTCCTGACTTACACTCTTTTTTCTTTCCTCATCTCAAGTTCTGATTACGAATTTTACTTACTTTCTCTCTCTTTATTTGTCAATGCACACTTTATTTATTCCAAATTAGAAGTTAGTCAGGAGTTAGTTCCTCAGAATGACACAGGATCATTAAAGACAAGCAGGTAGGATTTGGCTTTTACATCTTTTATCAGATATCATCTCCAGTACCTCACTCTAACCCGATCTCGGGCAGAAGGGCTGGAGATAATTAAGAAAAATAGTTAAAGTTTTAATAGATTTATGCTAAACTTTCACAGTACTATGTGCGTCCCCCAATACTCAGTCATTTGAAACTACATTTAATGTGTACTTTGACAGCTTAAGTAAACATCCATCTTTTCAAGGAAATTCTGAGAGTAGGTTTCACAACAGCATGAATTTACTGCAGTTTTAAACCCTCTGTTTTAGAACTACATTTTACATTTTTATTCACTTGACTGCAGGCAATTGAATGAACTTTCCATTCCACTACTGGAAGAGTTTTACAGTACCCACATGCAACAGAAAAGGAAAAAAAAAAAAAAAATTCATATAATCAAGGGATATAAGCAGACTTACAAAAACCTTGTAGCTTCAATTTAATTAGATGGTAGAAAATCCCTATTGGCAAACGTTAAAGAATAACACTAGTTGTATGCCAACAAAAGGCTACGTTTTTCTTTTGGGTCCCAATACTATAAAATCATCTTATATAAATACCAGAAAATGCCAAAGTAATTGGAGAAAACATTGAAAGTGCACAAGTTATGGGAATGCCTCTGGAAATGTCAGTCTCCTTTTAAAGTGATTTGTCAAAGAAATTGAGGTTTACCACACTGTGGCTGTCTTACCTATTACGGTTATAATTTCTTATGTTACTTATTACTTTTTAAATTAGTGCAAAGACACGTCTAGATATACATATGCTGCCAATCATCTTTCCACCAGAGCTTGAACAACAAGGGCTCTTACCTGCTTTGCTAACAAGTAAGCAAGCCAGGTAGTGCTGCAGAAAATGAGCAAGAGTCTTTAAAACAAGAGGTAGAGGTGTCTCTCTGGAGTTTGCCCAACACCTGGATTCCAGTTTTGCATTCCCTGTATCCTCAAGTGGCTAGCACAGCTAATGGGAATCTTGGAGCACAGAAGGAAAGCAGGACTAGGCGCAAGCACAGTTATGTTTTTTTTTTCAAGCTGAATTTCCAAAACTTTGTGGTTTTGGCTGGGCTAGAAATACCAAGCTTCCTTGTAATATTTTGGTATTTCCATTCCCTTCCACAAATGAAACCAGGAAGCTGAAAAGTGAGTAGATTGGTTTAAAACGAAAAGTCGCCAAGTTTTTTCAAACTGCTAAGTGATTTTAAGTCCAAATTTTGTTTGAGGTTAGAGCAAAAGTTCAGGCTGCTGCTAATTCTATCAGCAAGGTCTGTGTTTGCTGTTGCCTCACCTAAAATGATTCTCAGGTATGTTCGCTGAAGAACATTTCAAATAATGAGGTTTGAAATACAACAAAACTGAAATACAACAAAACTTTGTTTGCTTATAACAAAGCCCGATCCTCCACAATGCTGATAATAACCATTTCTGAAAAGTGGGTTTCCTCACAGTCCTGAAAGCTGGGCACATGAAATATTTGAAATTAGCTTTAGGACAACAATAATTTAAAAAATTATAACAGCTGGGTGGAAAACACAGAAATGACTTGTCACTGGACAAATGCGCGGAAATTCAGTATGGATCCCTCTTACTAGAATCTTTTGAAATGTTCCCGAACTTGAGAACAACAGGAGACCTCTGTATTCAACTTCTCAAATCAAAAGAGTTCTCCGGCTGAGAGTAGAGAATCATCAGCCTTTTTCCTCTGTCCCAAGAAGCCATGACAGTTCATGTTTAATAAGTTGGAAAGTGCTTAGTCTCCAGTGGGACTTGGGTAAGGACAGATAAGCCACTGCTGAAGACCCTCTATGCTTCTCACTTTGTAATTGGGTATGTGAATACTAGAAATAGAGAGATTCAAAGAACGTCAGTCCTATGAACTGTCAATTCCCAACCCAAACCAGTGATAATCAAGACATAACCAAGAAAGCTAGGCAGCCTATGTGAAAACATGGCGTAATAAATTTTGAAGCAAGGAGGTCACAAAGTCAACGCCTACCCTTCAGTTTCTGCTGAGATAGCTGGTTTAATGATTAACCTGCGGTTAACTAACAGAATGGTCGGTTCCTACACAGACTCTCACAAGCACTTATTCATTTCCTGGTTATGTTGCACTTATACGAGTCCAATTCAACCTCAAAAAAAAAAAAAAAAAAACGAACAAAAAAAAACAAACAAAAAGCTGATGCAGGTCCACAACAGAGCTTTTTGCTTTCTGTGGCAGATAACTTGTTTAAGGGGCAGCCAAATAGTCTGAGCTTTGACTGGCCCAAATCCCTCTTAAAGAGAAATGCTAAATGGCAGAAAAGTCATGTAAATCCCTTGAAGGAATTACATTAAACATTCACTTTCTTTAGCTTGTTTCTTTGTATTAACATGGTGGCTTGACACATTCTGAGGAAAGCTATAATGAAAACAAACACTGGGCAGGTTCTTTCACTTCTGCAAGATATAACACATGCTATGAAATGCCATCCAATGCAATGAATTTTGGTGAAAAAAAAGGATAAATCCTTCAAGAGCATCTTGATGGTGTCAAGTTGCAGAACAACCACTTTAAGAAGGCTGGTTTGCTCCCTACAAGACACATTAACTTTCTAGTTGTTGTCATTCAGGGCCCGGTTCTCCTTATGTGCAGTAACTCCCAAACTATTCTGTACTCTTTTCAGAGTGCTTTGGAACTGCATCCTCCCCACAGCTGCAGATCTTTCTCTTAGCACAGAAAAAACAGACCAAAAAGCTTTTGTGACATTTTATGTGCTATAATTGGAATTTCAGTTTTGCTTGTCTTTTTCTAGAAACCGTATCATTACAGTAAGGACGTAATTAAAAAAACCCTTTTCTGCAGTAAAAAAGGAAGATTTTTGACCAACTGTTTATTTTATCTCTTTCCTCCTAATTTCAGACTGAAAAGTAAGCATGAGAAGGAAACGATAAACAAATCTGTGTGTGGACTAGTCAAACAAAGGGAAAATACACGCCATGTTAGGAGGTTTCTCAGCCAGCTGAGAACGAACGGACAGATTTACAGGGCCCGACGCAAAGCTAAGCAGATCTGTCTATGTCTGGAAATGTGTACAGTTGTATTAGAGTAGTGCTCTGCCCTGGAAAAGGAGACAGACCTTTCAACAGGCCTACTTAGCTTGAGTAGAAACACCACACTGATACGGCAACACCATTTCAATAACAGTCAGCTCAGAAACCTCTGCAGCACAGCGGTAGGTGCCAACCCATCGATGCCACTCTTAAACAGTAAAAGTGACTCCATCTTCTGGAAGAACACTCCCATCTCTTCTGGGAGTCATTTCAAAAAAGTTTTCCAAAAGCCTCCTCTTGCTTTTTGAAACGTTTTGCACCAGCTTTCACTCAACAGCACTTCTCATGCGGGCAAGTTTGGGTAGCGGACACCACCAGCAGGCAGACCAGCAGGCTGGAGGAGCTCAGCAGTGGGGACTGGGACGTGTAGGTTGGAGTGGGACAAGGAGGGAAGGTAAATCCTTGGGAAGCTGCTGTGATTCACTGGGGGGAAGGCAGGAAGGAAGGCAGGAAAAGGAAGGCAGGAAGGCAGGAAAAGGCAGGAAGGCAGGAAGGCAGGCAGGCAGGAAGGAAGGAAGGCAGGAAGGCAGGAAGGCAGGAAGGCAGGAAGGAAGGCAGGAAGGCAGGAAGGCAGGAAGGAAGGAAGGAAGGAAGGAAGGAAGGAAGGAAGGAAGGAAGGAAGGAAGGAAGGAAGGAAGGAAGGAAGGAAGGAAGGAAGGAAGGAAGGAAGGAAGGAAGGAAGGAAGGAAGGAAGGAAGGAAGGAAGGAAGGAAGGAAGGAAGGAAGGAAGGAAGGAAGGAAGGAAGGAAGGAAGGAAGGAAGGAAGGAAGGAAGGAAGGAAGGGACTGGGGCAGTGTGGAAAAAGGGGAGCGCAGATCTCCGGGGAACAGAGGGGCGAACTCTCACCGCCGGTTCAGCTGCTCCATTTGCTGGACGGAGCCAGACCTGTGGATCCCATCGGGCGTTGCCGCGGCTGTGGGGCGCTGCCACGTGGTGGTTCGGTTGACGTGATCAACGTAGAATACCCTCCCGTGGCTGTCTATCCGGGCTTCCCAATCTAGGGTTGGAAAAAAAGGGAGGGGTGATGCTGTCAGTGTGATGCCTTCCAGAAAACCTGTATGTGGGAGATACATATACACACGCATACATATACACAGACAGGGTATATACACACAAGAGATACTATACGTAGCCTACATGCGTGCAATATATATTATGTGTATATATTCAAAGTATACATTTAAATGTGTATATATACTATGTGCTTGTCTATATATATGTATATGCAGTATATGCATATACATAAACATTTCACACACAGCACATAGGTAGCCTATGGAATTCACTACCATAGACTATGAAAAACAAGTGAAATAATGGCTACATTTTTTAAAGGGCTGGATAATTTTACAATTATTAATAACAGTTGGCTGGATTTACTGCAGGTCGGGGTAACCACATAGCACTAACTCTTAGTAGAAAAGGATTACAACTCAACTAATACAGAAAATCCCATGTTTTCTTTTTTATGTTTCAGAACAAACATGTTTCATTTCTATTTTACAAAGCGGCTTCGAAGGATACCATACAGCAATTATAGGCTCCCCTGAAACCTGATCACAGCCTGGTTGGACACATCTTTAGAAATCTCTCTAAACAGATGAGTATCACAAATCTATTGCTCTGATGAACGCCAACTTGATTGCACGTTTGCAGCATAATATTGTGCCTTCCATCATTACTGTTTCCTGCTAATGTTTATGTTGTCTCATGATTGAAAACTTTAACTTATTTCGTATATGATGGCCTGTGGAAAATGGTAATGCTGATAAAAAAAAGTGTTTGGAACGGGAAAAATTGGAAGTGAGTTAGCTAGCAAAGCCACATATCAAATTGGTTGGAATGTATGGAGTAGTGATATTAAGTGGATTAGACTTGCTAGCTTCATGTTTCTACATCAGCTTACGGCATATCTATGTAAATACGTGCACATGCCGTCTACATGTGTTTATATACAAACCTCACTCACATTCACACACAAATGCACATATGGTTATTACCTTTGGTGGCAAACACTTCCTCTTATTCCCATATTGTTACTACGATACCCTCCTCCCTGACGAGTCCACTCCTTCTATGGTTTTCTACGATCAAGTTCAGGATCAGGTGGATTTCATACTTTCTGTATTTTATCTCCTGCTCTCTAAGAGTAGCACTGAAGTTGGACATCTTCCTGCTGTACCTAGAAACCTGTCCTTCATGAGTGGTTCCCATGCCCTGAACGCTGGCCCTGGCTAAACTCAGTTCCCACACCTGGGCTGGTCCCAGTCAAGTGTAGGCTGTCTGAAGTCTCTGGCTGGCTGTCCCTGACACATTAATCCCACAAATCTTAAAAAAAATGGGCACTGAGAGTCCTTGGAGGCATTTTGTGTACGACTCCAAAATGAGAAGAGCCATATGCACACGCATTATTTCTTTCAAAGCTGACTGTAAGTACCTCAGTCCTTACAGATGCAAAACCTATAGCCACACCACAGGTACACACACAGTGTCTCTCATTGTGAACATCACTATATCATTTTAAGGAGAGGACTCTCTCTTCCTCCCACCAGGTAAAGTTTCCCAAGGACGTTGTAGCTGTTTCAAGAACAAGATCACAGCTTTGTGGAAACAATGCCTAAAACAAAAGACAGTGAAAAACAGCACATCAAGTATAACAGATGCACGTTGAAGGAAATCAGACCGACACATGAGGCAGGTCGAAGGCCAGAGCCTTGCTGAGCACGCTGTCGCTGGTGGCAGGTGTACCACCGTGGGTGGGGAACGGTCCTTCTGGAGCTATGCATTATCTACAATATCCTCAAGGAAACAATCTTGGCCAGATCAAAGGTGACATAATGTACCTTAACATCATGAAGATCTCCATTTCCCTCGCTGTTGTCTGGCAAAGGACAAATCCTAGCCCTCTCCCCACACTACTGTAGTATACATGTAACAAGGTGAGAATAATAAAGGTTGATGCATAACTAGAAGCTTGTAGGCAATGCTGTAGATCGACACTCCAGACAGCCTACAGAAGACATCAACTGGTCGTATTGGTCTGAAGCCTGCTGATGGACACTTAGTAAGAATAATAGTACCCAAGTACACAGCCAAACAAGGGCTTCTCATAGTCCAGCCCCAAGCACTACCGGCACTAGAGGCAATGTTGCAGCATCTAATTAAATGCAACTCAAAATCCCTAAGCATAATACTTAGAAATCCATGAGCAATGAAACTTGTCACAGAGAAAACATCACGTCAGGGTCTTGCAGACTGGATTACAATTTCAGGAAGGCTCTCTCTGTTGGATGTATCAGGCACCCAGCAGTGGTATGCACTGACATGAACTACGCCTACCCACGAGCGCTGCTTTATTCACTTATTCTTTATGGGTAAATACAGCTGAAACCATGAGCTGACACTTGCACTGGCATGCTAAACTATTAGGAATTGGGTGTCACACAGCTTTTGAGAAACCTGCAGCAGTACTGCTCCTTGCAGCAGCATTTCTGACCAGCTGAATAACTCTCCTTCTGGTCACCCAGGAAGGCTGGCAGAGGGCGGTGGGGGCCGAAACTTTTGTTGGACACAGGTGGCAGGTGCACTTTCTGCGTTCCCACCAGACAACCTGCAAGTCACACACGTCAGTGAAGCTGCAGATGATACCAGATTTGTGCACAGATGGATGGATACCTGCACAGAGAGACGAACAGGCTGGCCGGCGAACTGGCAGACAGAACTCTGCTTCTGAGCTGAGCTCAAGTCCCTTCATGTTCCTTCAGGGGCCGAGGTGAGGTAGGAAGCAGCCAAATCTCCTCAGGGTCTTTTCTTAGTTTCTCAGGGAGAATACGAGTGTCACTACAACAGAGACTAACCTCCATCTAACCTTCACAGTAAGAGCATGCTGGAGCACAGGCTGGGGACGGGACAGCACCGGTTCTTGTTCTCCAGCGATCCCCCTCCATCAGCCGACTCACATTTCACAGCAGCCTCTGAAACTGCTCTGATTTATACCAGAAGACGCAACTTCTTCTGGCAGGACCATAATCCTGGTGGGGCAAAGTAAATACAGTGTCTTCCCCTTTCCCAGCTCAGCCACACCTTCGGCAAAGAGCAGCTCTGAGCTGGGCACACTTATTTTTCTTGGCTTCAGTTCTGCAGGGTTTCCAGCAGTACTAGCAAACACACGCATAATAAAGGGTGACTATTAATGCTGTCATGAGACTGTACAAACTCTGCAAATCTTCTGTCAACCTCGTATGGGCCTTAACATTCAGACTGGTCATTACGACATTCCTACGCAAATAATGAATCTGTTCTACCTTACTTTCCTAAATAAAACTCTCTGAAATGAAGTTTCTTCCCTGAAACCAACTATTGTGGGGTTACGATGAGACAAAGTTATTTAGAAAACTCTTCAAAAGAGAAAGAAGGCTGTCTAGAAGATTCTCCGTGGCTGAAATAAAACCAGTCAATGCTGAACTTGCAGCACTGGCAAATTATCTTTGACTTTATTTATGGATGGAAGCTAGTGCTGCATGTGAGAAGTAATCCAGCTTTCATCATGTAACACAGGTTTAAAATATAAAGTTTCTTCCTTTCATATGATTGCAGAACTATTTATCTAGGATTAAGAGTCATTAAAGGCACTGAGATAGTAATACTGAACGCTAGAAGAAGAAACATTTCTAGATTAAGGCTACAGTTTTCATTCTAAAATTACCTTAATATTTCATGGAGAGTTTTTGGAAACAGGCTTCCTCAGTGATATTATCCAATTCAAATTGTCCAATCCAAATTATCTTAGTACAGTCTATTCCTATGAAGATCAATATATTTAAGCCCACAGTGTCACCCTTTATTGTAAACATGATGTTATATGCAAATGCTAAAATAAAATCCAACAAAGGGATATCTACAGGTATCACTTCTGTACTGTATCACCGCACGTTGAATTTCACGTCCTTAAACTGTGCTGCGAAAACACTTGTGAAAACCAGTGGTAGAAGTATCTGCCTTTTGAGGATAATTACAACAACGAAGGAAAAAGGTATTAAATTGGTGATGAAAGAATATGGAACAGATTCACAGTATCTTTTGTTCACCTGAGCTGGTGTCAGTCTCCTATCCTTAAGTCATCCAGCGGGGAATATGCCCCATTCACCAAGTTTTGAGGTAAGAGTGGGAGGAAGAGAAATATTTGCCTGTTACAGAGGTGATCATTCCTGTTTCATCATTCACTGGCAAGCCACAGTGGGACTCTAATAAGACTTCATCGGGCTAAAGGCATTTGAATCACTCACGCTACTGTGCCACTGCCTCCAGCATCGCGGCTGTTTTCAGCTTAGGCAATCCTGGCAGCATGGTTGGTAAATGATGAATTATTTGTCAAGGGCACCGTAGGCCAAATAAGCATGTTCCCTTCTTGGGCTTTGAAGAAAACAGAGTGCTTTGTTTATACACCTGGTTGTTTTCCTGCGGCACCACACATTTTAGGTTGGTAAAGCATGTGTTGAAGTCCAAAGGTGATCGGCAGCACATTGCAGGGCATACAGTGCGCTCTGCTGGGCACTTCACGCCAGTGCAAAAAGCGGGGTAATCCTCCAGGAATACACGAGGGAAAGGCTACAGGCAAGTGAAAACATCTCCAGCAGTTGATTCGGTGGTAAAAATCCCACATTATCAGCCTGCTGATTGATCGCGCTGCTCAAGACCCTCTCATTTTTACCCAGCACAACTGCAGACACCGTTACAATCCACAACGACCCTAAAACTCACTGATTAGCAAATCCAAAGACAGTACAAGACCACTGTACGTGAGCTGCCTTTTCCCAGCTTCTGCTGGTTTTGCTCAGATTTGGACCTGTCTGTCCCAGGAGCATCCTGACGGGGAAGGGGCTCCTGCATGCAGAGCTGACAGACCACAGGGGCCGCCACCCCAAACCATCACTGAAGCTGCTTAGGGAAAACCTGGAGACAAACATTGTAGAAAAATCAGAGTGCTCTGCTGATACACCGCCCAGAAAGCTTTGTATAGTGAGGCTCCCAGAACACCTGACAGATACCCACTCATTCGAGTCTAAACACACTGACTGGCAACAGGGAGATATTATTATTTTCACTTCATGGTAGCTTAGGAAGAAGACAGACCAAGGCAGAGGGAGCTTAGGAGCTTGTCCAAAATAACATGCCAACACCTGAAGTCAGGATCAAACAAGGGAAACAAAAGGGCATATTGGTTGGGTTCTGGAGAATGTATATACAGAACAGATGGGGTTACTTAGAAAGACATACTGACCTCTACACTGTTTGAGTTAACAGGAAAAGCTGAAAAATGCAATAAATTAAAAAACTAAAGCTTACTTGGTGGAAGAGGCTCATCGATAGTTGGGTAGTGATGATGGTCAGGCCTCAGAGAAGGAAGCTGGCTGACTGGCTGAGAATTATGGAGTAAGGGACAATCACCTATGGACAAGATATTCAAGACATTGACAGTCATTCACTGTTTTCACAATGTGGTTCAAAAAATGTGCTACTGTAAAACAAGTGATTATTTTTAAAATAGCTTAGCCTGGTATACTAGCAGCTCTGGTTATTCCTATTTTCAAGCACTATTTTAATAACAACTCATATGCCAAAGAATTGTTAAAATAAGGCAGTCAAGGCTCTGATCTCAGGCTTGAGTCAGTGCTAAACTATTATGGGCCAGATTCTGGACTCATAGACACACAAGTGTAAGCGAGAGAAGAATCAGGCTTGATCTCTGAGAAATACTGTGCATGTACAACCAAACTCAAGCTTCTGCAGAAATTGGCAGGAACATGAAAAATCCTGGGTCCAGCTTTTAATTCATCCCATCAGTGGAATACCAGGCTAAACTCTGCCTTGGATCTTTCTCTGCTTTTCCAAAAGATCAGTGTCTATATAAGTGGACTGGAACGGCAGGATTTTGCAGAACCTGCAAAGCAGAAGATCATCCCCTTCCATAGGTATTTTTCAAAATTCAAAGAGTCCATCTTAGGTGGAAGGAGGGAGAATGAGAGAAGGACCAGAAACAGGTAGGAAACAGGTGGTAGAAGAGGAGGACAAAAGAGAGTGAGACATAGTCAGGATCTGAGATAAAGAAGGAAGACCTGAGGTACAGAAGAAGGAAGGAAGTAGGAGAAAGAGAGACACACAGTAGACAGTGCAGAAGAAGTTATAAAACACTAATATTGTATATTTGTCTATATATCCAAATATGAAATAACTGAAACCTAAGAAAATGTCCAAACTCATGTTCTGTTGAAAGGAACAAGTAACTTAAGATCCCCTCAATGTTTATAGAATCCTTTAAGAAACTAAGAAGGTACAGTAGGGATGAAAAAGCATTCCTTATCTTGGACTCAACTGTGAGAATAAGGAACTTGCACGTTAAAACTTCACAGGCTCCAGAATTAAGATTCCTTCTTGGTCTGTCCTTAAAATCTTAGAAACCAGGACTATTTATCCCACTAACAGACACATTTTCATACAGTGTCGTAACAGTTTTTCACTATAACCCTCCAGCTACAGGTGGGCCTGTTAACACAGATACAATCTGAATTGCATAAATATAACATTTACATGCATCAGAAAGATGCAGCTTATGGGAAAAAAAAAAAAAATATGTATTTAATGTTTCCAACATCACCAGAAAATTACACAAAGATACTTCAAAATTCAAACCCAGACCATTCAGCTAAGCCAAACTCACTGTGTGCTGGCTGGTTTAGCTGTCTTTAATGTCAGAATCTTAACAGCCTAAGAATGAACATTTTGTAAAACCCCAAACGTATAGCTATCAAATGTAAAAACCATTTACCAAAAAATATGTTTTTTCTTTAAACAACCAACAGCTAGAAGGCAGAAGCCAGTTTTGTATAAAACTGCAAAAATCTCACACCATCCAGAAGTGAGAAAAATCGCTTAGACAAAAATACTCCCTCTTCTAGGTGGTCTGATAATACCGTATGGCCTGTTAAATGTCTTCATTAAACCACTTGTGTATAGGCGTATCTCACAGTTGCATCTGCTGCATGTTTTGAACAGACAGCAGAGTTATGTAAGTTATTACTCAGTGCTAAAAGTCCATCTCTCATAGCCTTAAAAACTGTGCTGCTACTACAGGTGTTGTAGCACCAACTACCAGATCATCCATCTATGTTTCTTTACTTACCTCACCATAATTGACTCTCCCCTAGTCAAGATAGTTACGCCAAGCCAGCGGAAGCATGGTAGTACCAGTCACCTGGAGTGGATGGAGGTGACCACAGCTACTGTATTTGTAACGGCTGCCAAGTCACGAAGCAACGTGCACATTTACTGCAGCACCCCTGCCGATACCAAGAGTGCTACGAGCCGGGCTGCCCTGCAGACATACTCTCTCTCAGCTAAAGAAAGCAAAGGCACTGTGAACGCTGCAGGGCCCTTTACACAGGCTCAGGGGGCACAGGCTGGGTGCGGGACTGAATCCACACGCGGAAGGCACCCTCTTCCCCCACACCCCTTCTCAAAAGCACACACAGTCCACAACAACCATCAGGTCTGTAAGCAGGGTCTCTCACACACACACACACACACACACACACACACACAGAGGCGTGCTCGTGCCCCCTTAGGTATACCTGCACGTAAAGGCTCTCCACACGCAAAGATCCTCGCCTGCAAGGAAGGAAACTGGACTTCTATACCTCTGTGTACTTCTGAGCATTTAATTCTTTGGGCTAGATTCTGCTCTGCAGAGCCAATAAGTGCCTAGGCCCAGCTGCCTACAAAGTCTTTACACAGTCCAGCATGTGTCTACCCTCAGGCCTTCCTTTCTGGTGGAGTAGGGTCTGTGGCACTGGAAGGCAGGGGTAAATAAATTGGGAATGCAGAAGGAAAAGGCATAAGGATGCTTTAGCTGGAGTTTCCCAGTGATCTCCAAATATATTATCCTTTTGTTGCCATTTTAATCTGGTGCCACTTATAGTGGGAGACAGACGACTCAGGATTTGGGAATGCAAAGACTACCTCTTGACCCTGCTGCATGCTCCTTAGCTGCTGCTGAGGCTTTTACTTCTTCAGCTGCAGAAAAACGATACACTAGCCAAAGAAAAGATGAGTGATCAAACCCACCTTTAGATATAACTCCATACAACCTAAAATGAGTTACCAAAGGGAGGAATTTAATGTAAGGGTTTGGAGGGATTGGGAAAACCAGTACCTAAATCACAAAGATGGAAGATTACTTATCTTAAGTATGTTTTATCTCTAGAGAAGGATAAAGAGATGAGAATTTAGTTCAATAGAGTTCAATTTTCAAAGTATCTAGAAAAAAAATAATCTCTGTTGAGTTGTCCTAAGGTCTGCGAAATCTGGGGTAAGTCTGTTTTATACTTGGGGAATTGGAACAAACGGGGCTAGAAAACTGGGTTCATGAGAGACAAATAGCTAGATTTCTCCATGCTTATGACTGTGCATGGCTACCAATCCTATACAGAAACTGGTCCCAACCTTTAGCTGGTGTAAATCAGCATATCTGCCCTTTGACAAGCACAAGGTGGTCCTCTCACTGACCATCAGAGACATGGCAGCACATCAGATATGTGAAATGGAACAATCCCAGGAAGTAAGGAATGAGTTGGTGGATGTGATAATGCTGATCTGCCACATAACTAGAGTACCTAATCTTGATTTTATAATGATGCATGGGTATCTACAGGAATCCATATACGCAGATCCCCGTCTGATTTATTTGGTTTTGCTGGGATTTTTAAGGACAGACTCAATTATCCAACCCTCCCTGGTGTCTGGCCCAGCTCACAGCCCCCAAATTTGTATGAAACAAACCCTGAGCTCTCTGAAACCTCGATTATCTGATGCCTTCTGTGACATTCCGATAATCAAGGTTGCTCAGCGCATCAATTCTCAGGATCTAACCTTCTCTTCTGCTGCTTGGACCTGCTATTGGGGTGTCTAGACTCTCTGTGGCTCTCTGTGGGTTCACACCATGAGCTACCAGTTCATCTGGCCACTGGGAGGAGCCATCCACTTGCTCCCTGTCCAGCTCAGGGCTCTGCACTGAATCTGGCACTGACTCGAAAGCACTGTTCTCCTCCTCCTCCTCATCCTGTGAGGAGAAGACAGTGCTCTCGGAAATCTTTGCGCTGTCGACGGAGGAGAAGCGGGTATGGCTGGAGAAGCGATTGTTACTGTCATAACAGGAGGTGCTGTAGCAAGAAGTGCTGTAGCAGGAGGTGCTGTAGCAGGAGGTGCTGTAGCAAGAGGGGCTGTAGCAAGAAGTGTCGCACGCCTCACATTCGTTGTCACCATTGGGCCTGGAGCTCGACTCGCTCTCGCTTCCTGTCCTGGGGTGTTCCCCATCCAACAGCCCGTCATTTAAGTCAGAGAGTTGCTCATCTGAGGTCCCAGGAGGCACCATGCTCTGGCTGAAGTTCTCTTCGGCCTCGTTTTCCAGCGGAGGCTCTGCCGCCACTGTCTCGCTCTCACTGACCACCTCCTTCTCCAACGCCTCCTTGACTGTAGACTCCTCGTCGTTCTCCCCACCGTTGCCACCATCTTGCTCTTCTTCCCCATCGCTGCTCATCTGTGCCGAGGGCAGGCTGTGGAGCAGGTTGTGGATCCGTATGTAGTGCGTGCGAGGGGTCTCCGGCTCACCGCAAGCCGAAGCTATGACTGTCTCCAGTTCAGACACAGGCAGGGAGCACGGCCTGTTTTTCCTCTTTGCTGTGGTCCTCAGTTGTAGCTTGTTGTCTTCCTCCTCCTGGGCTGAAGCCCCTTCTTCTTCCTGACTCTTCTCTAGGTCCTTGCCAGCATGCACATCTGCACTCACCTCATCAATATCTAACGTTTCTATGCTGGTCAAGACTCCACCATCTCCCTGAGTACCAGAATTGACTTTGTTATTTTCCCTAACTTCAGTCTCAGGAGGAGACGTGCAAGCTAGCAGAGCCAGCTGCTCCGTGAGGTCCGTGGCACTCAAAGAAGGCAGCACTTCTCCTGGGATGGGTTCCAAAGGCTCAGGAACTGGCACCGCGTCAACCTCCCCATCTCCTGCTAGCTCTTCATTTAAGCTGTTCTGGTTGACTTCCCCAGGTGGTTTGACAGCCCCTGGGCTATCCACACTGTTCACACTGTATCCATTTAGCTGTTCTGGAGCTGTACTTTCTGAGGTCACCGTGCTGATGCATGGAGGCTCACCGAGGCTTTCCTCTGTGGGGTTGTTCACAGGGCTTTCCTGGAGGTCAGCTGGCTCAGGATCTGCACTAATGGAGACCTCTTCATCATCTGTAGGGGACAGGAGAAAAAAAATTACTTACTCCTTTAACAAGAAGTGTTGACTGAACTAGAAGCCTGGCTGTCGGGGTATAGGCATCCACAGCAATCTGGGAAAATTAAAAGCATAAATTACAGTGTGAAATGAGTGGGCAACTGAGCAACTATCAAGAAATGATGATTTCTCTTGCTAGGCAGTCTTTGTTCAGGGGATTTAACAATCATGGGGCTTACTCATGGTGATTATCTGTATGCAGCACCCTGCCTCCTTGCAACGCAAGCTGAAGGTAACGTCTTCTTGAAACTCCTCTTTGAGCCAAACTGGCATTGGAGGCAATATCATGGGAACGACAAGGAAGTCTTCCCTGAGGTTTTAATGACATTCTTCTTGTCAGGCTGAAGCTGACAGGACTCCACAACAGAGAGCTTAAAAAACTGCTTTTTCACACCCCTGAAAGGCAGAAACTTTCCCCAAAACGTCCTTCAATGTGACACTCATCTGTATCACCTCCTCCTAGATGACAGACAACCTGGGCTCTTTCACACTACCCAAATAGTCAAGAAATAGAAGTCAGGGTTTTCCATCAAGGGGAAGGCCACGATTTCCAACCACTAATGCAGCTGCTGTTAGCTTGACAAAATGTACCTGGGAGGGTACTACCCTGAAGAGGCAGAGTCCCTGAGAAATGCCACTGAAACACTGACGTGAAAACCAAGGTTCAAACTTACACCATCATGACAGTGACTTCCTAATAACTACAAGAGAATGTGAACCGAAACCAAACCAAAAGGGATGAAAGGAGTGGAACAATGAATTATTTTTTGTTTCACCTTTTTCATTAAAAATGATCAAAACAAGAAAGTTTCTAATCATCCCTACTATTACATTCTCCATTTTAACTATGACATGTTCAAATGCAGATGACTCTACAAATAACAGCCCATCTAGCACCTCCCTACAGGTGATATACGGCAGATAGGACAGGTGATAGAGAAGCAGATAAGACCTTGGTTTTCCACCCTCTTCTCTCCCAGTGATGTGGCAGAGTATTTGAAGCATCCAAGAACAGGGGGGATATGAGACATTGGTAGCTCTAAGCTGAGGGGAAACAGGGAAGAAGTTGTGACTCACTACGCATCCTGTGACGGTAGACTTTATGCACCTTCCTTTGCTCATGACTCTACCTAAAGTCCCAGAGCAGCCAGGAATAATTCCAGATTTCTGAGGAGAAAGAATGCAAGGAAAAAAAAAAAAAAGCTCTAGATAAATGGTGGGTCAAGACTGAGAATTACCTGGATGGATGGAAGAAGTTATCTCAAATCGGAACTGCAGCTGGCCACTGACATGATCTGTAGGAAGCCTGCGACCCAGAGTGTAGCTTACAACCCTGTCCCTGAAAGAAAACAAATATTGTCACAATAGACTATAACCTACCCAATGTCTACTGTGCATAGAAAAAGCTGCTGTGTCCTACAAAAATACATAATGGTTTTCAAAGGCTATTCAATCCAGCCATGAGGGCATGTTGACTTGCATACGAGAGAACGAATGGCAGAGGAGGAGAGGACAATGTCTTCAATTACAATGGAACAGCTGAGTCAGTGAGTAAGACAGGCTTCTGGGATACACAAGCACGTATGTATATAGAGAGAGGGAACGGTGGGAATGGAACTTCTGCAGTATGAGTATGAAAATATTGACATGGGAAGCAAACAACTCCCACTTCAGCTATTATAACAAGACTTCACTAACCCTGCTGATCTGACCATATCTACCCTTCTGCAGAACCTCACATTGCTGTATTTCCTTCTCTTCACCATCTGCATAAAATTCATCTTTCCTGTCCTTTCTTTCAAAATCCTGTACAGGCCAGTCCCCGCTTACCACTTTCTCTTTTCAAATTGGCTAAATGACTGCTCTTCATCTCTTTCCACCCCTCTTACCTCTATGAAGCTGAAATATCAGGAGAACACCTTCCTGACAAGGTTGATCAATGACTCCATTCTGTCCTTGTGCAGGTCCCTCCCTTTGCCACACTTCATCCACCCCTCAGAACAGAATGAAACTACAGAAGAGATTAACTTCCCAGCTGCCCAAAATGAGGCTGAATCAATGTTTGCAAAGCATTTTTTGAGTGTAAAGGGTTCACTAAATAGTAATATTTATACATCTTTCGAAGAAACATAGTTCACTTTCAGTTGGGCCCAATATATTTGCTAGGATAGTTTCACATGCATCAGAAACTCATATCAATGAGATGATTTCAAGATTTGTTTATGATCTTTCCGAACCTGCGTGTATACTTCTCATTGAGCTTGCCTGAGATTTTAAAAGCCACTCTGGTATTAAAACTAAGCCAGATCTAGGTGCAGGTTGGAGGCACTGCTCTTGGCAAAGTATATCCCTAGATAGACAGTGTTTACAATAAGGAAGTAAAATAGGAAGATATAATCAGAAGATGATGAGAAATCTTCTCATACAGAGGGAAACCAATGGTATCAGTTATAGGGCTTTACCGTCCCCAAGCTGTTCTTTTCCATCTGGTTTCTAAAAATCTGCTCTATATTCCCTACTTGAGAAACAGGGAGGTAGCTTAGTCCCTTCTGGTAGATTCAGCTGTCAATAACACAGCTAGTTTCTGAACCAGCTGTTCAAACCCACTTCCAACGAGCTCAGCTTTCTGCTGTTCCGCTGAATTGGGAGCCAATTTTCAGAAATGCCTTCTTGGAAACTGCATTGCGTATGCTCTCCTCAGGAGATGACTCTTTTTCTCCCTGCTCCTCAAGGTCTGAACCTTACAAGTTTAGAACCAACTTGTTGGCTTTGTCTGAATACTATCCATCTTCCCCAAATCGGTTCGTGTTACTTCGGCAGCACACACCTTCCCAGGACTTCCCTGCGAAGGGGAAGCAGGTCAGGGCTTGTGAGCTCAAGTGAACTGGTTATTCCTTGGCAGTTAGGTAGGATCAGAAAGATTTAGTTACAACGTGCCACATAATTATTATTTTTTTTTATAATATTTCCACTGTCCAGCAATTAAAGGGAGGAGGAACAGATCTGGCATGATTTTAGCCCATAGGTAATTCCCTGAAACATGAAAACAGCCTGTTGATAGCATTAAAAGAATATTCAAATTGAAAATATTGCACTCTCCAGATTCACAGCCGTGATACACAAAACAGTCTTCCTTCTTAAATGCCAGCTCTCACTTTTCAAAATGCAATGAATAGGGATATAGAGGGAATTCTTTGTCTGGCCCATAGTCCTATAAATTCTAATTAAGACCAACGTTATTCATCAGACAACTGGCAGTTTAATAACTGCCCCTAAACATCATTATATCACTATAATGATATATCACCAGGGACTTCAAAACAGTAACATGCTTGTTAAACAACAGAAAGTAGCATAAGCAGCAAATTTACCCTATGGCATGTCGTTCCAAGAGGCGTTGAACTGGCATAGAGAGTTTTCCCAGGAAACGCTTGATGATCGGTCGGCTCTTTGCAAATTTGTCTTTAACTTCAATTTCCAGGACATCCGTGGGCAGGGAGACAAAGCTGAATTGCTGCAATAAAGGAAGAGCACAGAATATGAAGCTGGTGGCTGGGCCACAACAACGAACAGTTGCTAGTGGCTTATCAACCTGTGTAAGTCTCTGGCTTTTTTACATGACCAGAAACAGTCCTTGGACCCCAAGGCATAGGCCTGCAAAATAAAAAAGCTTGGCCTCAAAGCAGGCAGGTGAAGGCACCTGATAAGGGACTGTGTAATGCTGCACAATCAGGCTTGGGAAGTGCACAAATTTAATTATGAAGTGAGGATCTAGTGAGGTGAAGGACACATGATCGCAGTTTTCAGATACATCCTGAAATCTTTCCCTCTCTTGCTCATCCCTGCCATGTTTCAAAAAGGAAAAACTCTGAAAATACTGTTTACCTGGATCGATCTCCTAGCCTGGTTCACAGCACAGTCCCACAAGGAGCTAAACCAGGGGAGCCACGGCACAGGCTACCGGAGCAAACGATACCGGGGAAGGGGGGAGCGGCACCATCCAAAACTGTGGCTGTCACCAAGTGCTTTGAAACATGTCACCACCACCTCAGCTGATCTGGTTTGAAGAGCATCCTGTTTTTAGTTGTCAGTAATGTTTCAATAAGCTCTTAGAGACTGCGTGCATGCAAACCTGAGGTAGGAACAAGGCGGGTGGTATTTTAGGTTGTAGGAGCAAGTGAGTCCATGTGTACAGCTTCCAAGCGTGGAAGCATCAGGGTACCTGGAGATGTTGGGAGCTCCCCACAGGGAAAGCAAAGCTCCATTTAGCAATAACAGTGAAAAGCGAATATATTAGATAACGTGGCCTTGCTTGCTCCTAGACTGGCTAAATTCAGTACAGACTTGGAGCTGGTGACACAGGTCACTCAATTTTTCAAACAGATCTGCTACTACTAGAATATCATCAGTCACAAAAAGCACATCTCTGCTGTGGTGTGCAATAGTAGGAAAACTGTAAGACTGCTGTTCACCTAACTGAAAGGTCAGTATTGAGCTGGAAGACAACTTCTCTAGTAAATGAATATTGAGATGGATGAAAGGATTTTCCAGCTTTCACACTGCCAAAACCAATCTTCACAACAGAGTCATGCTCTGGGTTATCGAGGCCTGGAGTTAAGCCCCAAATCGCTTGCTCTATTGAACCATGATCTAATTTTCAGAAATGCTTAGTTTGAACAGCTTCAAGTGAAACCAGTATCAGTGGGATATTCTGTTAATTCTGCACAAATGCAAATAATCAGAGAAGTACGACTCAAATAGCAGCTAAAGTGTTAATTTCTTATTTTCTTCTACATCTTTGCAACTGGTGATCAAAGAAGATAAACCCAACAAAGGGGACAACATTAATTCCCCATGTATATTGAAAGTTGCTTTATAAAAATAAGTTGTAATACCATTACTGTTTCACTTTCTAAAAACCTTGGGTAACTGCCACTTCATGACAGCTACAAGGAAAGCAGAAGAAAAAGATTAACTTTTAACTGAATGAGGCTATTGTAACGTACAGCAATTTGCCATTTAATGAATTCTCCATTATTGTGCTGTTGACACCTATGTGGTAAAAAAGTCTCTGTGGGGTAGAGCATGGATGCACACACACAAGACTGAATTGTTCACAAGTGGAAAGTAAAACATAGGTTAATTATCTTCCCCTTCCTATGTCATTAATACGTTGTCTTGTGGTACAACTCTGCAGCAAATCAGAATCTGCATGGGCATTTGTTTCCATAATATCAGGTCAAACCAAGCCTGGCAGTTCCTTCCTTGCACAAGAAACACAGTGGCATTTTCCAGAGTAATTATCAGCACCTGAGCAGAGAGTACGGCTGCATGCAGCAAGATGTGTTGGAATCAACCAAAGGAAACCAATTTTTCCCTTGAACCCAGACATACAAATGCCAGGATGTTCCATACAATTGGTAAAATCAAACTGTGTTCCGATTTCATCACTCGCCAACCACACTGCATTTGGGGATACAACAGACTGCCCTGGCACCAGCCTCTGGTCCATGATCACAGTTTCCAAATGCTTCTTCTAGGAGAACGTTCTGATGCAGAAAAACAGCAGCATCTTGGAAACACAGTTAAGCCTTTAAGACCAGAAGTGTCCTGTGTCAGAGCTCAAAAGTTTTGACATTTGGAAACAACTGCAATTGGAGATCGAGAGTGAACTCAGTGAAATGGGTTTGAAGACAGCTTGTAAAATAGTGGTAATTTCACATAATTCAGCTTTCCATTATCTAACCACTTGCTCCTGCTCTTGCTCTCATCTAGATTAATGTTTCATGGGCAAGATTCTTCTAAGGCAATCCCTGACTGTGGATGCCTCAGGCTCAGGCCATCCGCACTGAAAAGCCCAGGGAAACCCTTGTTTGCAGAACACATGGGCCTCTGACTCTTTGCAAAATGGATCCCAGAGAAACACCTAGGACTGAGAACTCAGAAACTATTAATTGCATTTTCAAAAATCAACAATCACTTTTGAAAACATGAAGGTTCTTCTGATATTCAAAGATGGGACTGTCTTTGGATGTGGAAGCAAATCACCATCAAATCCTAGTTTCACTCTCTTCCTTCACCTTCTTTTTTGTCAAGTGCCAGCCCATGTACTTAGCCCCAAAACATCATCTGCATTTACGCTGTTCAAAGCCTTGGCCTTCACTATCCTCCCTATCTGGAAGAGAAAGGACCATGTGTTCTATGGTCTTCTCCAATATAACCAACGTAACACAGTAGTAATATATTACTGCTGGAATAAATGACATCCTTTCCTCACCTAATATTTGCTAATTGTCATACATCAATGGCCAGTTTGAGAAAACGACAGTGCAAGCTTCATATCTAGGTTAAAAATACTCCAAACCACTGATTATAAACTCTGCAGTACCTTTGGGTTCACACTCAGTGATGATGTGGTTAATAATTCATTTCAACAAGGGGTGAGAAAAGGAGGCTGTAAGATCACAACAGAGATAAAAATTGGCTCTCTTCAGGATGAGGAAAGTTTGGTGCAGCTTCTTACATGTGCCCACAAACTACATCACTGATAACCAAAAGAGATGCATTCTAAGAATAAGTCCACTGCCATTTTTTGATGTTACTATTACAAATTTACTGCAAGTCTTCTGTTATTTGGAACTTTTCTTATTATCACAACCCATGGTGTCATCAAATTAATTCAGAAATTAAGCTTTCACATTAAAAAGAAGTATAATGTTCATGGTTGCAGAGAAAAACAAGAATACAAAAACTTCATACAGTAAGCCCAAATGTATTCTTTTACAAAGGCTTCTGATTTTTCTGCCAGTCACTCCCTGAAGTCAGATTCTTTTATGTTTTGCAGCTGGCATTGGCTACCATGCATTTTCTTTCACAATCTAAGATGGCAATCTTTCAGCCGTGTATTTTCTCTGGGCACCCCCCTTCCCAAACTTTAAGTGCTCTGAATCTCAGCTGTTAGTGCAAACTCTGCAAGACTGGTCAAGAACTTCATGGAACCTGCTGAAATCCAAAGGCACTAAACTAAAGTTTACACTGAGACTAACTGTAGAAGGGTGTACTGAAGTTTATATAAATGGGCCTTTTTTCACAGTCAACAAAGTGAAAATATAATTTCTGGTAGTTTTAAAATTCTGATATTCTGACTTAACTTTTTCAAAAGCTTTAGCCTCTCCAGCTGTCCAGAGGTCCACCAAATTTGATGATGGCTGCACAGACGTGGTTTGTGACTTCACCTGGGGCTTTCTTTGTATTTGAATACGGAAACTCTCAAAGGAAGTAATGGATTTCAACACAGGTGCAAACTCATCTACCAAAACAGCTACAGTTTCAAGGCTAAAGCCCCACTCAAGGAAAAGACTTTGTCTAATGACTGATGATGTATTTATTTGGCTAACAGCAGAAAACAGGACACCTAGGAAGAACAATCCACAACAATTTTAAGTGATGGCTAGAACTCGATGTTTTTATCTGATCCCTAAACAAAATTCAAATAAAATGCATTATATAAAATGTGGGGGAAAAAAACTCTTGCAAGGTATCATTGGACTCACAATTTATATATGATCTACAGCAGTCAGTGGATGAATGGATAACAAACAAGAAGTTAAATCCCTATTCTCTGATTAGCCCAAACCAGTAATTACCTACAACGATGCATTAGTCACAGTGCACTACCCTGCATATCACATCAATTATTGGTCGGTACAGAATGACTCTTAGAACTCGAGATGATACATGACACAGCACACTCCACAGAGGAGATGGCAGATTGCCTCAACAAAACTGCCAAGAAATTACCATTAGGAACAACCTGTTTCTCAGAGGGTGCCTGGCTCCAGAAACAGTCTCAGACCCCATCTTGTGCATGTCGTGTATCAGCTGTCCCCTCATCTGACCCTTACCGGCTAGGGATGAGAGGGCTCCTCTTTATAGGTCAGATGTCGATAAGTGGAAATCACCGACACCCTCACGCAGTGAGAAGCACCACTGGAAGGATGAGGTGGTCAACCAGCTCCCTCCGTGTCTGATCTGGAAGAACCCCAGGCTGGAAAACCCCCAGAGTTAGAGAGAGGCTTTGGAAGAGAGTGCAGGGAAGCGCTGAGTGCTGAGGTCCAGAGGAGAAGACCTTTTTATTTTCTGCTAGAGATGTATTAGGACCATTACAAAATTGGTTATCTGTCAGGTGTATTCCTAAAAGGAAGCTACGCACAGAAAGTCTGAACACAAGGGAAGATTGAAGATCCCTGGTACACTGAGGAGAAGTAGCACGTGTCGTAAGGAGGGCCTGTGGAGGGGGATGTTTCCTGGTCCCCGGAATACATTGGCCATGTGTGCATTAGGAAGACGTGTCACAAAATGAGTGGATCTGGAGAGGAAAGCAACTGGTGCTGTGCACCACATCTAGGCATGTTGCAAGGGTTTTACCACGAAATAACTCCAGGCTGGTGCCCTGGATTGAACTCCCCTTATCATCTGAGAAGTGTTAGGTGCACTCCTGAGGCACATCTCTTG